ATAATGCCTGTACAGTTTTAATAATTGTGTCATGTATACCAAATCTATGTAGAACTCGATAGAGAAAATCCCAATTTACTGAGTCAAAAGCCTTTTCAGCATCCACGCTTATCATCATTGCCTCAATTTTACTTCTTTGAATGTGGTCTATGACATGTAGTGTCCTTCGTATGTTGTCTTGTGTTTGACGTTGTCGAATAAAACCTGTCTGGTCATTGTGGATCAATTTAGGCAGGAATTGTTCTAATCGTCTGGCCATGATGGAAGTAAAAAGCCTGTAATCCACATTAAGAACAGATATTGGTCTGAATGATCCACACTCCATTTGATCCTTTCCTTTTGGTAATACAGATATTATTGCTTCGTTCCAGCTGGGTGGTGTTTGAGCCTTTTTTAAGACCCAATTGAGTGTTGAGAGTATAATCGGTGTTAACTCGCCCTTAAATTCCTTATACCATTCTGCCGTATAGCCATCTGATCCTGGTGACTTGCTTAGTTTGAGTTTACTTATTGCAATTTTTAATTCACCTTCAGTTATGTCGACAGTCATCATTTTATTTTGTTCTTCATTGGGGGTCGGCAGATCTATGGAGCTTAAGAAAGTGTCATTTTGAGTAAGGCTGCCCCCTGGAACTCCAGAGTACCATTTTTTTGTAGAATGCTTCAAAAGCTTCCTGGATATCACTTAATTTGGTTTTTATTATTTTGGTTCTTGGATCCCTGATTTTGTGGATTGTATTCTCTGCTATCTTTTTTTTCAGTTTCCATGCCAGTACTTTCATAGATTTAGTCCCGCTTTCATAGTACCTCTGTTTAAGAAACATTAGTTTTTTTCTCAATTTCTTGTGTAGCCAAATTGTTCATTTCGTTCCTTATTTTCTTAATCTCCTCCAATGCATCCTGAGTCTGTCTAATTTTGTGTTTTCTTTCTAGTTCCTTCAATTTATTTTGTAAATCCTCTTGTTCTTTATTCCTTTTTTTTTTCTTGTATGAGGACAGTGCTATAATTTTCCCTCTAAGAACAGCCTTTAAAGCATCCCACAAAATGGGAGGGGAAACCTCTCCATTATCATTGAACTCCAGGTAAATCAAATCAAATCAGGTTTTATTTATAAAGCACATTTAAAAGCGATTTTTGGTCGAGCCAAAGTGCTGTACATGTAATAAAAACACATTACTACAATCACAATAAAAGACAATAAATTACAACAGATATATATCAAAAATAAAAATGAAACGCAAGGAAAAGTCAGGAGTCGTACTCCGCTCTAACTAGAAGGCCAGAGAGAAGAAGTGTGTTTTTAGTGTAGATTTAAAAACCCCTAGGGTCTGGGCCGACCTCACATGGAGGGGCAGAGTGTAGAGAGGTAAAGGCCGATCTCCTTCTTAATTTGTTCTTTAACATAGGGATCATTGAGTAAACTTGAATTTAGTTTCCATAGATTATTCTTTGGTCTTAGGTCCAGATAAACTGTCAGATATATGGGTGCATGGTCACTTAAATCTATTGATCCAATTCCACACGTGTTTATTTTATCTTTATCTTTACCAAATGTTATGAAATAATCTATTCTCGTGTATGAAGAGTGAGGGGCGGAATAATGAGTATAGTCTCTTCTGTTAGGAAATAGGTCCCGCCATATATCAATCAGACCAACATCTTCAAACAGTTTGTTAACTTTCTTATGTAGAGATTTAGTACCATTAGTTTTCTTCCTAGAACAGTCTAATTCAGGTTGTAAGTGCACATTTAAGTCCCCCCCGCATATTAGAATACCTGTAGTTTCCATTATAATGACATCAACAATTTTCTGGAAGAAATTAAAATCACTTTCATCTGATTATTATTGACCGTGGTTTGTCTCCTGGTCCCCCGGGGGGCTTTGGGACGAGCGACCGGTGCGCCCTCTCGATGTGGAGCTCTGTAGCGGGGGGAGGTCAAGGGTGTCCCGTAGTAATTTTTCCACAAAGTCCACCATAGACGTTCCCTCCTCACCTTCGGACACATTATATATCCTTAAATTCTCCCGTCTAGATCTCCCTTCTTGGTCGAGTAGTTTGCTTTCTTGCCGAGTCAGCACTTTCATCATCTTAGCTAGCACCTGCTCCACGTTTTGAACACGGTCTTCCATCTTTTCAATTCGTGTCTCTGCCTCGGCTATTTTTGTATTAACGTTGGTAAGCTCAGCCTTAATATCGCTTAGTTGTCGTTTCGTGTCCTTTCGAAAGTCCCGTATCTCCTCCAAAACTTTGGCTATACCCAATGAGCTAGTGCTAGCTTCGCCATCTTGTACCTGCGTAGGTGAGCCGTTATTCGTTTTTTCTTCATTTCCAGGTTGTCCATCGGCTTTTTTATTGGTTCCATCCCTTCTTCCCATTATTGCCCCACTGCCAAGTCGCTTATTCTCAGAGTTTGTTTTATTTGACGACCTTACGGGGTTAATTAACTATTACTTTGGAGGAGCTGCTATCTTAGGCTGCCATTCAGGGCGATGACGTCACCGGAACCCGTGTTTGTTCTTTTCAAACTTTTTGTATTAGCTTTGTTGATCTTATACCATTGATAACAAAAACCTTTTAACTAGGGATGTCCCGATCATTTTTTTTTGCTCCCGATCCGATTCCGATCATTTGATTTTGACAATCTGCCGATACCGATTTTTCCCGATCCGATCTTTATGCAATGCATTAAGAGAAAAAAAAAAGGAGAAAAGCATTCAAGTTGTCCCTTAAACCCCACGTTCTCCACCACAGATAACGGCTGGTCATCCAACGCGATGAATTCAGCTATCTTGGCTGTTATTTTTTTGGCCTTTTCATTGTTCTGGCGCAGTTTCTCTTTCCTTTTTAAAAGTCTCTGAAAGTGTTGGTTGTTTCAGTGCCGTTACCTGAATGGCCGCTGTGTACTCGTTGTGTTGTTGTTGGTGTTGGTGTTTGTTTCTCAGGTGGCGTATTAGATTGGTCGTGTTGAACGTAGCTCTGTTCTTTCCACCACGCGGAACCTCCGCCTTGCAAACATTGCATCTGGCTGTTACACTGCCTTCGCTTTCAATTTTATAATACTTCCAAACTCCTGACATTTTCTCTGTCCCGACTCCCGAGTCACCAGCTGAACGTAGCCTCTCGTTAGCTTACTGCTACTATTAGACACTGCGCCCTGCCCACTCTGTTGCCAGATTTGAGAGAAATAAGCAACCAGGTCTATGAAAACAAGCCCAAAAGAAGCAACACATACATGATGTTGTGTAATTTTAAACCAAAACTAAGGCCTCAGGATGACTTTAAGACGTGAACATGGTCATTTTTGTTTTGTAACATTAGATAAAATAAGAAAAATATTTTATTAAAAAAAAAAAAAAAAAAAAAAAAAAAAAAGATTCCCGATCCCCGATTTTTTTCTCCCGATTCCGATCTTTTGAAAATCACGTGATCGGCTCCGATCCCCGATCACGTGATCGGATCGGGACATCTCTACTTTTAACCCTTTGGAGTCCTGGGCTAATTTGGCCGTTTTCGCATACTTTTGATTTGTCTTACTAAACCCCATTAAGAAATGTTTGGCATGTCAATGTTTGGTATCTTTTTTTTAAGGACAACCTCACCTATATAACCTGATAGTTATTTTTTTCATTTTGAGATACTATATGAACATTTTGGACCCAAAATCACAAAAAAATTAAAAAAACGGATTTTGAAAATTATATTATTTTTTATATAGGTAACACAAACATGGACAACGAAACAATTTGAAAGCTGGAAATATATACATGGGATGTCACTATGATAATGTGAAAGTTTGATTGAGGTAGCATGAACCTATATACACATTTTATGAACAAATAACAGGTGTATCCATAGGCGTTTTTTCCTCATTTCTCAAGTTCTGTCAACAGTGACACAGTAGGCACAACAAAACATTTAAAAGCTTAAATAATGTACATTGGATTTCATTCTGATAAGGCAAATATATTATTATATTATTATAAATATAATATATATATATATATATATATATATATATATATATATATATATATATATATATATATATATATACACATTATGTACAAAAATCTGTTTTTTCTGTCTTTATCTGTGCCACGCTTCAAAGCAGTTTCTGTCAACTACGACACAGAGGGCAACATCACAGGCTCCTCCTCCTCCATGTCAAAAAACAAGCTTATAGCTTGACTCGCGTTCAGATTTCTCTTCATCATAGTTGAATCTTCAAAACTCTAAATCTATCTAACTATATCTAAATTCTCAATGTTTGTCTGTCACTTTACTTCAATCGCCGTCTCTCTTCGTCTCCCGCCGTCTCTCTTCGTCTCCCGCCGCCCGCCGCCTGTCTTCGTATATCTTCGTTTCTCTCCATTCCCTGCCGTCTCTCTTTGGTTCCCGCCGTGCCTTTTCGTCTCGTTACGTATCACTCTGTTTACCTGATTACCTCACCCCCTCCCTGGTAAATACATCCTGTTGAGCAGGATCTACAGTTTCCAGTATTTTCCGTTTCGTAAAATGATAAAATACGGCGAAGATATTAAAATATGTGCTTCCATTTTTCATACTTTTGAAATATATTTGTATTAACTTTGTCATCGTATCTCCGTGTTTACTGGGTCTTTTTGCATGAAACAAAGACTGGCATATAGTTTCAAGCCAGTACTTTCGACGGAAACACACGGCAATGTTGTCCGGACTGTTGTTTTTATGCGGCACCGGCTTGAACAGGTCATGTGATCTGATCACGCCGGCGTGACGGTCGACTCCAAAGGGTTAAGATGAGTGTTGACCAAGTCTTAACATTTAGCCATGTAAGCAAACCCTGAAACTGTAATGCTCATTCTTTGACACACAATGTCAAGCCAATGGGCATTACCGAGTGCAAACACGTCCACAATTATTGTGGTAATTATAAAATAATAATTTGTAATCTAAATGTAGAACCTTTCTAGAACACTGTCAGTACTGTGATAACAATCTGTGCGTGTGTGTTTCAGCTCAGACCAGGGAGGTGATGGGGGAGTTTGGCCGTCTGTATGAGCAGCAGTATGCCGTGGCTCTCTTCAACAAAGTTCGCTTTGACATAGAAGGAGGAGCTGGCCCACAACCTCAGCTGCTACACCGCAAGGTAAGACCTCTTCCACCTCTCTGCACGAACATGCCCTCCACACATTGCACACACTCGCTATAGTATTACATATGTTTATATTCCCTAACTTTTCATTCAAAGCACATCAACAGCTTTACAAGTTCATCAGCAATTCATTAAAACGCAACTCATTCTGCCAGTGTTGGTCACATTAGCTAGTTGAGTTACATCAGTGCCAGGTCCCGCACGCTGCCAGACCGTCCGTTAATTTCTAACTTTAACCAGCACAGCTCTTTGAGAGACAAACAGACTTCATATACTTGCTGTTTTGGAGTTCCAGGTGAACTTGTGGAAGCCATCACTGTAGGTGTGGTGAGGCCAGTGATGCCTGCAGAGAGGGTAACGCTTCATTTTGGCATTTTCTTTAAGGGAAATTGCATGTAGGGCTTTTTGCGTTTTAGTCATGTTTCAACATTTAGTTTAACTTAAAGGTCACCTACCAGGCTATTTTTAGGCAATATATATATAAAAAACTTATCTATGAAGTGTTTTGGTCAAAAAAACAAACAGATCACCCATTCTAGCCATGCCTCATATCCCTCTATTTCTCTTCCTGTTACAAAAGTGCTGATTCTGGGTATAAACAGGTTTCTCTTGAGAATGAGACCCTGTGTCTCAATGAGATTTTCACCTGTATAAATAAAGGCTAAATAAAATAAATAAAGCTTTTTTTTTTTTTTTTTTTTTAACTGAAAAAATAAATAAATAAGAGGTGGCAGAGCTTATGCCGGCTCATGCGGGACCTGGCAGGATACTGTCTAAAATGCTGCGCTGATGAAACGCAAGGATTATTAGATCAAGGATTATTTCTGAAACAGTATGGAGCTCAAAGGCTTTCTCTCTTGCCGGTTATACCACAAAGTGAGTTCCTTTTCATTTCCTGCTTCTTCACACACATGCTCTCTCCAGTACAGGTTAGCTCTGAGTGTTAGCGATGCTAATGTAAACACCGACCATATTATGTCCAAAACAGTCGGGCATTGTTTCTGATAGTGCTGTGCGTCCGCCGCCGATATTACGTCACATCGGCCGCAAATCTGGATCAGCTCCGTTGTACCCCCATTTTTAGAGATTTGGGTATGGAGGAAAAGAGAGGGTTTTATTTTCTGACGCTGCGTGAGTTCCCTGACACACCGGGGACACATATTTATGTATAAAAGACATCAAAAAGTGCATTTTGCATGATAGGTCTCCTTTAACATATATGTGGCAATAAAGGTAAATCCAGCAACTGTCACACGGTGTGCTGTGTTCTGCAGCCACTGGAGAAACTCCTTTCTTGATCCCTATGTTATTATTTGTTTCCATTGTCAGACAGAATGCTAGTAAATATCTTTGTCTGCTTTTTACTGTCTGGAGACTGATTATATCCTTGTTTACGAGTGTAGTGAGAAATGCAGTCACCTTGCTTGAGGAAAACATTGTTAGTCTGGTGTTTGGGGATTAAGAAACCACTTCTAATGGCACATTTTAGATGTGTATTTCTATAAAATATAAACACTGTCTTTTTCCTGCTTCTCTGGCAATAACAAAAGCTCCTATGGCCTCCTGCTGTGCAGTCAACTGTCATGAAAATATTTTTGCTTCTATAAGGTTTGTTGTCATTCACAGATTCCTTTGGAAAACAAATCAATTTTCTCTGGCTCGCTCTTTCACTATCTGGAGGAGAACAAGAAATGGAGGAACCGCTTCGTCTTTGTTCCAGACTCCTACAACCTCAACTTTTACGACAGCAAAGCAGTGAGTCTCTCAAATCTGGTTTACATTATTCTGCTTTGACTCACTTTCTAACATGTTAACTATTCTGCCCAGGCCCACGACAGACACCTCCACCCCAAAGGAACCATCAACTGTGCCGGCTACAAAGTGCTGACCTCCGTGGAGCAGTACCTGGATCTGTTCAGCAGCAGCAGCCTGCCTGGTGAGAGGAGGGTGAGGGGTCGGGGGACAGAGGAGACATGTTATGATAATCATTTTATTGAGATGTTTTTCTATTTCAGGTTAGAATAAACAAACAGTTTTCATATGTATTCAACTGTTACTGACACATTATCACCTTGTGTTTGTTTATGCATTTGCCAGGTGTTAATTCTTCATAACTTGGGTTTGATGATACTAGGGCTGCCAACAGTCAAAAAAGTGATGGCCTGTATATTTCCTAATCCTCCGGTATCACTAATTGTTGCCGTTTCATTTGGCAATAACTTTGGTTGTGTTACTGCAAATGGCATGATTTTTTTGTAACAAGGCTATTTTCTCGATATATTTTGGAATTTTAAATTTTTTAAATGGGTCTATTATTTACTGTGTACATTTTTTTTGTTATCACAGTCTTTGCATTGACCCGAAGACACATTTTGAGTTGTATACACTGTTAGAAAGAGGAGATTCATAGCTTTCTAATGATATCGGGATTGTTTTTGTACTCCAAATATTAAGCGAAATATGTCACATTATATAATGACTGTCACCGAGTCATCATTTTGAGAAAAAGGCCTTTAAAGTTTCCTCTTCTCTGGAATCCATCGATCTGATTGGTTATTAGCAAATTATCAAAATACTACGGAGGGAAGATATTTTCGTTTGGATTACTGGTCGTGTGTGTGTGTGTGTGTGTGTGTTACGGGGAAAAGTACTCCGGTGTGAAAGCGCCTAATGAGTTTAAAAAGCTGAATATTTCAAAAAGTATAAAATATTTTGAAAAAGTTGAAAGTTTCCCATCATGTGCTGAAAAGGCTGAATATTTTGATATTGAATGGTTTCTGTAGCTGAAAGTATGCTGAAGTTATTGAGAGCCAAAGTATTGGTTGAAATAAGAAGAAGATTCAAGATTTGAAGAACTATAGTGGAATGCTGTAAACAGCATTCGCACTAATAACTCATTTTCGCTGTTTTTATCATGAAAAACAACAGTGATTTAATTATTCTAAAGGGCATTTCAAGGGTTAAAATCCTGAAAATTATTACATTTTTTATTAGGGCTGAAGTTGCTTTAAAGATTGAACCCAAAAAAGTGGTGAAAAAACATTTGTTGTTTTTATCAAAGTTTTTGCCAGTGGACATTTTTGTCCCGAATGACTAATTGGAGTAGTCCAATCGAATGATACCGGAGGGCTAAGCACTTTCATTAATATTGTTTGTAAACATAATGAGGTCAAAACAATATGTGAAAGGAAAATGAATAAGCAGCTAGGAAAAGACGGCTGCAGTGCTTATAGAATCATAAAGCTCTCAGGGATGTGTCTTTATGCAACTATTGAAGCTCCTTTTATTAGCATTTTGAAAATACAAACATCTCTTCTGGTGGCGGTCACTCCCGGGTCATTTCGTCCCTCATCCTACCTTAAGGAAACATGCAGGTAAAAAACTGTTATTGTTATTCATTGAAGATAATGAATGCTTAAAGGAGAGGTGTCATGCTTTTCCAGTTATTACCCGTCCCCTTGTGTGTTATGAAGGTTTTTATGCATGTAAACGGTGTGCAGAGTCAAAACCCTCAAAGTACACCCTGTAGCGAGTAAAACTCTAACACAGAAAATACCTCCCCAAAACGCCTCGTTAGAGATACGTCACTGTCCATTTGATTCTTCCATTTCGTTCCGGGTACGGCATGATGTCATGCCGTACCCGGAACGAAATGGACCAATCTGTGGAGCCGTTACGTTACGTCCGCGGAGCCGTTACATTAAGCCCCCGCTGATTGGTCCAAATTGACCAATCCACGGACTTCCTCACACGTGGCAGCTCTGCTGATTTCTCCTCCCTGGCTGCAGGCTGATAACAGACAGTTGGGATTGCGGCAAAATTCTCTCTGCAGACCCATTCTCACAGCGTTTATCAACCTTTTTCTTACTCAATATCAAGCCACACTTATTGTTTTTACTTCGGCTGTGAGTTTGTGTGTGCTCAGGATGAGTTTGGCTGTGTTTCGCTATGTATCCTAAACAAGGAAACAACACCTCCACGGAGCTCAGCGCGATTCACAACGTCCTGACCAATCAGAGCACACTGTGCTCACAGGGAGGGTGGGGGCTGGAGCTATTGGAGCTACAACGAGCCGTTAAAGGCAGAGAGTGAAATTCAGTGAATACACGTAGTTTACAGAGATGCTGTATGAGAAACCAATGTGAGTTTGGAAAAATGCACAGTATAAATCTATTTTAGTAGACCTCAACAATGGAATTATGATCAGTGGAAATGGCCATGACACCTCTCCTTTAAGGCTAACCTGGCTTCGTCACTTTACTCAATGAGAGAGAAATGTCCCCTCGAGGCTAAACGTTTAGGTTGCTCTGAAGAGTACTTTGTAATGTTTAATCTACTATAAGGGCAAACCTGGGGAACAAGGGGGTGAGGGCCGCAAAATCTATATTTAGCTTGATTTCCCTCATAATTGTTGTTCTTTCATGGATGAGGGTTAATTTGTGCTTGGTACAACTCAAATAAATCGAGGTGAAAGAGAGTACATTGCAGATTGACAAATAAAATATCTTAGCAGGGGCCGAGCCAGCTTCATTATGCCCCCCCTCGGTGAGATTATGTTGTGTACATTTCTGCAGGTATGGAAGCCAAGGTGGGAAGCTCCCCCTTCCTGAAGTGTGCCACCCAGTTCCCTCTGATCCTCTGGCACCCGTACGCCCGGAGCCAGTCCTTCTGTGTGGTGACGGAGGCGGAGCAGAGGAAGTGGCAAGCCGTGCTCCAGGACTGCGTCAGACACACTAATGATGGTGAGTCCTGCCAGCTAAACATCAACACGCATTCCTGCAGACACACATGGTTATGAATACGTTTGGGAAACAAAAACGTATTACCCTTTTAGTATCTTTACAAATGCTCCAAATGAGTCTTCATCTTGGATGCACCCTGACACATCAGCAGGGTTAGAAGGAGGATAAATGTGAACGGAGTTCTGTGATCTCGTCTGCAGCTGCAGGGCTGCCAGCTCAAAGGAGGCTCAAACAGCATGTGCACTTTTAAGAAATGCATGTACCAACATTTTTTTTCCTTCACCAGGACTTTTTAACTGAAACATTTGTTTCGATTGTCTTTTTTTCTTCTCTGCTCCCATGGCCTCCGGCAGATGCCATATATTTTTTTGTTTAGTTTGGAGTGAGATAGTGAAATCAATCTGAAGAGGACCCCTTTAAAATATATAGCAAAGCAATGACTAAAGGAAATGATGAATTTTGTAATGTAAATTGAGCTGACTTCCCCTTTATTCATTCTTAAACTGAACATTGAGACTATATGTTTGATTTGGATGTAAATCTTGGTTTTCACATCAGTCGATATTAACAGTCATGTGAGACTAGTTAAGAAACACATTGTTAAAAATATGAATTAGTTGTTAGCTCAACAGAAGTAACAAGTGTATCTATCATCCTTAGAAACCAGACCATAAGGGGCAGCATGGTTAGCCTGCTGTGGAACATGAACATGTGTTTCTTCAGGTTGTGTTACTGCACCCCCCCTGCTCACTGAAACTGAGCGCCATCACAGCCCCCCTTTAACCAGTTCTGGCACTTGGAAAGGAGACACAGCTGAATGACTTCATATGTTCTCCGTGAGACCTGACTTTAACAGCTCCGTTAAACAAGGTGTGAGTCAACCAACCTCACACCAGGTCCACTAGTCCACTAGTCCCAAAATTCTGAATTTTGTCCTCTGGGTTGTAAGATAAAAGAAGAAACTAGCTACTTCTGGTTTGTTTGAAAGCGGCTCATACCATTTAAGGCTCCATCTAAATACTAACCCGCTTTTCGAGAGGGTCCTCACAATTTCTGTCTCTGCATCTACTAGGAAATCTGGCCCCCCCCCAGTCCCGCCCCCGCACATACTTCCTGGCTTTGTCATAGTCTGGAGTTCTCACACACTGTCCAATCTGGCTGAACACAATTTCAGCTTTAGCATGTATTCTTTCCCAAAGCACGCTTTTTCCTGATTTGTATTATTCTTTGGTTGCCACAAAACCTTTTAGAATTTGGCAAAGTTAAACTTGAACCCCCTTTGTATCATAGAAGCAATAGGCTTTTTCACAACCTAAATACGGAATTCTTATAGCTGAAAAATGTGTTATCAATAATCTTGAGGCCCCATTCTGCTTTCCTGTAGTGTGTTCTATAGGTTTTTGTGGTCTGCAAAGACTTAAATCCCTGTATCCCCCCCCCCCCCTCCTGCCTGACACACTTTGATTGCAGTCCTTTGTTAACTTCAAGAACATAGTGACATCACTATGTAACACTCGCGCTCCTACTGGCTACTGCTCCAACACATTGTACATAGGCTAAGGGGCGGGACATCTCTAAGCGGTTGACCAATCATAGCAGAGCCGGCCAGCTAACCAATCAGAGCAGACTGGGCTCTGGTTTCAGACAGAGGGTGAAAAGAGGTGCTGCAGCACAGGCAGTATGACAAAAAGAAAGAGCTTTTTGAACATTAAAGCATGGAGACATGTCCCAGGAGCGACGTTAATATGAAGCTGAACATTTCAATAACGGGGCCTCTTTAACAACGGCTCAGTTTTATCTCAAGTTAACCATGATTCAGTGAAGCAGCTTTATAGAATTTAAAATCATTAATTTAAAATTGTAACTTATGCTTTTCCTTATTGACACATCAGCATGTTATCGGCTTGTGCCAACAAGTCATTGATTTTCATATTCAGACGTTTCTTAATTCAAGCAAGAAACTTTCCTCCACATGTCCAAATGGATTGTGTGCTCAAATGCTAACCGCTACTCGTATTCCCATGGCAGGTTTGACAGAGGACAATAAAGTACAAACTCCAGCCTTCACTGATGCAGTACGACTCTATCGCCAAGCTCAAGGGCACTATGGCACTTGGGAGATGATGTGTGGTGTACCATCACAGGTAAGCATGGCAGTACATCATCTACACTGTCCTCTGTCTCTGGATCTGCCCTGAACTTTTAAGTTGGAATGACCCAATACAGTTCCAAAATATACCCGGCCTGGTTCCTCTTTTGTAGTGGGTGGTAAAAAAACACGTTACATTAATCCTGCCTGATTTCAGAATCAGTATATGGTTTATTGCCATGTAGGATTTCATCTTAAAGGGGGATTTTCAAGAAATATATAAATATATAACCATAACAATACAAATGTTAAAAATATACTTTAAGAAAAAAGTACTAAAACAAATATGTACATAATAAGGGTAAAATATACAATATATAAAAGTGAACTATTCAATATCTACAATCCTTTTTTTTTTTTTTAAATGTGTCCCGCTAACCTGGTTTCCTGTGTTCAAGAGCATCTGGTGCTTTGTGACCCCTGAAAGGTCATCCAGGCCTCTGCTTCTATTCCTCTGCCTCAAATCCACAATCACATCACGTTATCATGTGACATGATTTATAGGGTTATAGACATAAGAACATGTCTTACTTTAATGCATTTAGTTGTGGTAGCATTTGTCCATCCTTTTGTAATACTTAAATCTTATTCCATGCATTTAGTTATTTTGAAACATTAGGTTATGTTTTTTGATGACGATGATTTGAAGTACATTTTAATGGGGCTGGACATGGTCCTAAGCACAGAAACAAAAGTATTTGTTGTCCTGTAAACACAACAAATCTGAGTTTTTAAAGCTAAATCTCAATGTGCAGAGTGCAGAGAAGCATTATCTCTGTGATGAGTGAGATAGGACTAAGGCCCAGAAACAACCAGAGATAACTTCAATGACCCATGGCGTCTAGCTGAGTCTGAGTATAGCTGAATGACTTCATATGTTCTCTGTGAGACCTGACTAACAGCTCTGTTAAACAAGGTGTGAGTCAACCAACCCCCAACAGGTCCACACAGAGGCTTCTGTCGGAACACTGTGGGGTTACGGAAGGCCCGGTTCACCTGAAGAGTTGTGGGCCCCTATTGAGTCCTGATAACCATTTTCTATATCCTTACATTTGACACTTTATCCAGTCCAACATGTGTATGTGGTTAGTGAGGTGACTGTGATTGTGTTTGTGTGTCTTGTAGATCCTGGCTAACCTGGTGATGGAGGGCCTCCTCCCGGAGTTGAGGGAGCTCATCTCCCCCCGCCTCAAAGGCAAGCTACACGAGAGGCAGAGAAACTGGATGCTGGTGAGAGACTACTACCTACACATTGTGTGGAGAAAACATGTGTCTAGTTGTACACGGTTGCATAAATCGCTGACATGTTGAGCAAATGGATCATAGGAAACATCATGGGTCTTACCCACCAGTGATGGAAACAGCCAGTCTATGCCTGTATGATAATGTCCAGCTCATATCAGAAAAGACAAGTAGTGCAGAAGAGCATGTGTGATTGTTACGTTCCCTCCTGGACTAGTGGTCCCAAAGGGAAGTAACAAAATATAAAATAACCGGGAGAGAGGAAAACTGATTGCTGAAGCCACAAGGTGATGTTTAATAAGCAAAAAGTAAAGAGGGCTCACCAGCCAATTTGCAAAGTAAACTTAAGGTAAACTGAGAACAACTTTCTTATAAAAGAAAGTGACTAAAGTAAAACAATACACAAAGATACACTGGAGGGAGACAATCAGGGGGAGAGGGGGAGAGAGACACCCACAAACACAACACGGCACGTAACAGTGATTCACACAGACTGAGCGACTGAAGGACCAGGATGTTCTGTTCCCAACATGTGGTTCCTGTATGTGTGTAGATCAGTGATGCAGTGTACAGCCTGGTGCAGGGGCAGTGCCAGGCCCAGTATCAGGCGGTGGTGCAGAAGTGTGAGGCAGCCTGCTCCTCTCTGGAGGCGTCCATACGGTGCGACATGGACCAGATCATCTCCTCCAAGGAGCACGTCAGCAACAAGATCAGAGGTCAGCCTTCTCTCTTCATGAAATCCTTTTCAGACTTCTCTTCTTTAATCCCTGTTTTTATGCATTCCAAGGCCTGTTTGTGATGCTCTGACTGATAAATGAAATTAATGTAGTCTTACCCCCCTAGAGCAGTGACCAGCAACTTATTTTATTTTTTTACAACGTCTCGTGAGTAATGTGCAGTACCGGAGTCCAACAGAGAGACAGTAGACAGTAGCCTTCCCTGCCTTGAAGAAGAAGTGATCCTTCATTGTGAAGAGCCGTCCCGCTTCGACAGAGTCCAACAGGGAGGCAGGAGCTGCTGGACAGCAGAGATGGGGTCGTTACTAAAAAAAAAGTAATATATTACATATTACATATTACTTTTAAAAAAAAAGTAATATATTACACTACTTCGTTACTCTCTACATAAAGTAACTCGTTACTTTACTCGTTACTTTACTCGCAGGGCCGGCCCGCCCCTCCCTACAGGCAGATCACGCAGACTGCTAAAGTTTCAAATGTTCTCTTTAGTTCAGTTTCCATTGTCGCATAAGACTGATCCAGATAGCTCTGACTATGGCTGTCCTCTGTCTCCTGCTATCTGTATTTTGCGCAGTATATCTCTGAACGATGCGATGGTGATTCCACTGTGCAAATGGGCAACATTACCTCTACTATGAAGGATGCTACAAGCCTGTCCATCTCTGCTTTGGTTACCGGTCATTTTTGCTGCTTCGGAGTCGGCGGCGGCGCACTCACAACATCCTCACTCTGGGTTCGGGGGTCCGGTCCTTAGCTATTAGCTTCACCTTAGCATGTGTTCTTTGCAGGTGTTTGTTGAGGTTTGACGTGGTGTTTGCAGCAGTGGATAACAGCTTCTGGCCTGGACACAGTTTGCACCTCACCGTCACATTCCTGTCTATTCTTCGGACGAACTCAAAATAATGGGCATACCTCCACCCCTCGAAAGTTATCGCTGACTCTGCCATGTTTATGCAGCACTGCACGTGGAGATGTGGATGCACATACTTTGTAACGCGTTATACCCAACTCTGCCAGTAGCCTAGAAGTGATCCTTCGTTAGCGTGAAGAGTCTGCTAAGCTTTATGCGCTCCGCAGTACCTGAGCGTGCTCCACTAGCCTGCTTTAACCATTTTATCTGCCGTTGGTTTGAGTGGCATGTTTTTGCTCAAAAGTCAACACAACGATCCCATTTATCCCAGCCAGTGAATGACAAACGGAAATAATCTTTGGACTTTCAAATGTCCGACTGACTGTGTGGGGTTCAGAGTCCTTCAAAAATAAATAGAGAAACACGGATCAGATCTCTCTTCCTCTCACGTTCCTCCCCACAGAGGTGGTCCTCCCAAAGGCTGAGAAGCTGCTGAAGGTGAGCATCCAGCCCTACATCAGCTCCATCCTGGACGCCCTGATGGAGCCCACCAGCCGAGGTTTCTCTGAGGTCCGCGACGTGTTCTTCAGAGAGCTGGTGGACATGAGCAAGAACTCTCTGAACAACGGCACCAAGGAGGCCGTAGCACAGGTGAGGAGAGAGAGAAACAGGTTTATTAAAGCATCAAACTCTGAAATACAAACGATTTATGTCCATTATGGTTTGTGAAACAGATGTATTAATTAATTCAAATGTAAAATAATACTCTGCCCCCCCTTCCTCTCCTTAAGCACATGGAGAAGATCTCCATGCTGGCCTTCCACCCGGTGAAGATGCAGAGCTGCTATGAGAAGGTGGAGCCGCTGAGTCTGGAGGGTCTGCAGCAGAGGTTTGACGTGTCCAGCCCCTCAGTGTTTGTCCAGAGGGCCCAGATCCTTATGAGAGAGGTGACACCCTGACACTGCACTTACCCATGTTGCTTTGCTTCCATCAATGGGGTTAGTCAGGGATGTCACAAGAACATTAGTTGTTTATAAAACTGCACTTTTTATATATGGACAAAGCAAGTTCGACCAGACAACGGCCCTTATTTATTCACTAACATTTCTTACATTCAAAAGTCATGAATCCTTAATTCGCCCCACAGCAGGGAAATGTACATATATTGCATATAGATGTTGTGACAGTGTTTGGTTAAGTTACAGTTTGAGGCGACGACAGTTGTTATTTCTATAATTGAAACGTTTTTGTCAGCTTTCGCAAGAGTTTCATTGCAAAATATGCCTTGTTATCATTATAATTATATGTGCTTAGAAAACTTCATTGTGTTGTCAGTCCACAATTTGGAGTTTGGAGTGAACCATTTACCATTTCAACTAGAAAGCCCTTTTTTATACACTGCTCAAAAAAAATAAAGGAACACTTTTTCAGAGTATAGCATTAAGTCAATTAAACTTCGATCTGATGTGTTTTCAAAGTGTTCCTTAAATATTTTTGAGCAGTGTAATTAAGGGGATCCAACCCTTTTCTTTTGTTCCTCGTGAAGATACAAATAAAATCAGGGTGCTGAGTGAATAGGATGAAATATCAAAAAGATCACTTGATTCCTCAATACATGAGGTTTTCCACCTCGGAACAAAGCGGAATGACCTTGGTCTTGCATATCTCTTGAAGAACTCTGAAAAGGTAGTTTGTATATGTATTGAAACACAGCTGCAACAAAACACCAAATCTACCAATTGTACTCTGAAGCAAACGGAGCAGTGCTGTGTGTGTGCATGTGTTAGTGATAGTGTTAGGGAAGGATATTGTCTTATTGTTTAGTGCCACAGTATTGACTGTATGTAAGTCGCTTTGGATAAAAGCGTCTAACCCCCCATTCTGTCTCTGACCCTTTATACAGAACAGGCTCTGAAAGGGGCCTCAGTCTCAAGGAAGAGGAGCAGGGGATCTACACTCCCTCAGGGTCATTCTTAGTTCAAGTGTTGTTTAAAACTGCAGTCGACCTTTAAGTTAGCCCCCCAAACCATACTGAGTCAGGTTGAGGGTCTACAGAAAGATCTTAAAGCGGCAGCAGATTACTGTATGTTGCAATAAAGAGGTCCATGTTGATATGTCTTGCCAAAGAAAGTCGTAGTTATTCTTGAAGTATCACACACTGCCTCAGTGTGCAGAAGAGTTATTGAAATTCCCTTGCTCTTATTCTGATGGTAACAGATATTCTACCCACTGTGTGATGTAGATATTTTGAAGCTGCTTTGAGTCTAGTTTATTAGTTTATTTTGTTGAACATGCAGATGAGTGATTTTATCCTAAAAGCTGAACAGAAGAATTCCTTGTGTGACATTTTATTCCAGTCAGTTTACCTCAAAGAAACAGAGGACCGAGGTTATGGTTGGGTTCAAATTGTCAGTTTAGCTTAGGAAGTTTATAGGAAATATGAACGTTAGTTTTTTACTCAAATGATCAAATAAAGTCAACATTTCACAGTGTTTACTGAGCTGTCTGGGGGTTTCTCTATTGTCCACTTTCATAAAGCATAGAACGAGGGGTTACGTATGGTAACCCTTGTTATATAAACACAGGCGGAGCCCTCTACTCGACTCTATGGGTACTTCCCCTTGATCCTATCATGCCAGCATTCATCCATTGAGACTTTCTAGATGTAGCCGGCCCCGGGGCGGGCCTACCTGAATGCGCGCGCATCTCACCGCATAAAAGGAGGCCTCGCCTCTTTACTGTCATCCTACACTTCTCTTCAGCAAGCAGCATAGGACAGACAGGGCCCCTGAGTAGAGGGCTCCGCCTGTGTTTATATAACAAGGGTTACCATACGTAACCCCTCGTTATATCTCTCACAGGCTCCGCCCTCTACTGGACTCTATGGGTACAGTGGGCGGAGCCCTGATGTATACACGCGCTGTCGTCCCACAACAACACTGTTCGATCTCACTGTTTCTGACTGGCTTTCTGGTTAGCAGCCGCTGCGCCTCACTCACCTCTCCCTCGGTCGTAACCGTGGAGAAAATTGAGGCTGCGGCTGACAGAGCACACCCTGGCGCGCTTACCCCGCGGAGGTGTGCCCTAAAGCAGGGGGAAAAGAGTCCTCCAGCCCCTATGGGCCCAAGTGCGCGTCACGTAAGCGTATTACGCCCGGGGAGGGGGTCAGATGCCCACTGACCCACAGTCCCCCTCCCTCCTCACCAGTCCTGCGTTGCCCCAGCAAGCACAGATGATGAAAAGGAGCCAGACATGTCCAAGAGATAAAACTTTATGAAGGGGCCTGGCGTTGACCAAGACGCCGCCGTGCATATGTCCTCCACACTCACGCCGTTAAATAAGGCTGTTGACACAGCCATGGCTCGTGTAGAGTGTGCACAGACCCTCGTGGGGAAGGCTCTCCCCGCCTGTCCGTAGGCATGTGCAACGCACTCGCAGAGCCATCCTGCCAGGGGTTTCTTGGACAGGGCTTTCCCGATCACCCCGCCCCCGAAGCACACAAACAGCTGTTCAGTGCGTCTAAGGGCAGCCGTGCGCTCCACATAATATGCCAGTGCACGCAACGGGCAGAGGAGGTGCAATTTAGCCTCCCTCGCCCCACTATGGGGTGGAAGATTAAAGCTCCCCAACTGAATAGCCCTCGACCTGAACGCACTCCTTAGGGTCTTGGGCACAAAGGAGGGGTTCGGTCTGAGTGTCGCCCCGCTCTGGTCACCCCGGATCATTAAAGGGCCCATGTCATGGCCATTTCCACTGATCATAATTCCATTGTTGAGGTCTACTAGAATAGATTTATATTGTGCATTTTTCCAAACTCACATTGGTTTCTCATACAGCATCTCTGTAAACTACTTGTATTCACTGAATCTCACTCTCTGCCTTTAACGGCTCGTTGGAGCTCCAATAGCTCCAGCCCCCACCCTCCCTGTGAGCACAGTGTGCTCTGATTGGTCGGGACGTTGTGAATCGCGCTGAGCTCCGTGGAGGTGTGGTTTCCTTGTTTAGCGATACACAGTGAAACACAGCCAAACTCATCCTGAGCACACACACTCACAGCATAAGTAAAAACAATAAGTGTGGCTTGATATTGAGTAAGAAAAAGGTTGATAAACGCTGTGAGAATGGGTCTGCAGAGAGAATTTCGCCGCGATCCCAACTGTCTGTTATCAGCCTGCAGCCAGGGAGGAGAAATCAGCAGAGCTGCCTGCACTGAGTGTGTGTGTGTGAGGAAGTCCGTGGATTGGTCAATTTGGACCAATCAGCGGGGGCTTAACGTAACGGCTCCGCGGACGTAACGTAACGGCTCCACGGATTGGTCCATTTGGTTCCGGGTACCGCATGACCGTATCGCGTGATTGCTCTGGGCGTGGCTACTGGGTATCCAGACGTCACGATGCCCAGGAAGAACATGAGAAATCTCCAACGAGGCGTTTTGGGGAGGTCTTTTCTGTGTTAGAGTTTTACTCGCTACAGGGTGTACTTTGAGGGGTTTTGACTCTGCAGACCGTTTACATGCATAAAAACCTTCATAACACACAAGGGAACGGGTAATAACCGGAAAAGCATGACATGGGCCCTTTAAACAACCAATAGAGCGGTTAACTCGGACACTCTTTTGGCTGACGTTAAGGCAAGTAGCAATGCTGTCTTCCACGACAGTGCTTTCAGGGAGGAGAGCTCCAGAGGCTCAAAAGGTTCTGTGACCAGAGCCTCGAGCACCAGCGGCACTACTGGGCGCAGCCTCCTGACCCCCCGTAAACTGCAACATTAGTGGCTGAGAAAAGGCTGACCTGCCGCCAAATCCCTCATGGCAGGACGAGATGGCTGCTGCATACACCTTCACTGTGGAATGAGCAAGCCCCCTGTCCACCAATAACTGTAAGTACAACAGAATAGATCCCAATTCACAAGATAGGGGCTCTATTTTCCGCTCCTCACACCATTGCAGGAATCCCAGCCACTTCGGCCTGTAACCGGCTGTGGTGGATCCCGCTCTAGCTGCCTGGATAGACTGAATAACACTATCAGACAATCCACCCTGTCTTAGCCTGTCCCTCTCAGGAGCCAAGCCTGGAGAAGTTGTCCCAGAGTGGGTAACGCCCCGATTGCACCTGCCTCCTGAAACATCGCCCCCCAGAACTACATCTCTGAGTACCACGGCGCCCCGACGCAATCCTGCGCTACTAGGATGTTTGACAGATGTTCTCGTCTCACTCTCCCCAGGAGCGGGAGAATGAGACACAACAGTGGAAAGGCGTAAAGCAGCTTCTTTGGCCATGGCTCGTGTGCAAACGCGTCCATCCCCAAGGGCGGGTCGTCGCTCAGAGCCATGGAGAACCACAGGGCACAGTGGCTGTTGCGCCGGCTGGCGAACAGATCCACCTCTGCTGTCCCGAACCGGGCCCAGATCCGCTTCACCACCTCTGGGTGAAGCGCCCACTCGCCTGGCAGGGGTCCGCCCCTCGACATGAGGTCGGCCCCCCTGTTCTCCAGACCCGGAATGTGGAGAGCTCTCAGAGATAACACCACCTCTGAAGCCCATAACCACAGTTTCTCCGCTGTGGTCAACAAAGCGGCGGAGCGGACTCCGCCCTGCCTGTTGATATATGCCACTGTGGCGCTGTTGTCACTCCTGACCATTACATGTCTCCCCTGAATTAAGGGTTTGAAATGCTCTCCCCAGGCAGGTCCCTCCCCATCCCGTTCCGGACGCATCTGTGAACACTGTGATGTAGGAGGTCACCCGTCCCAGTGGGGACCCCCTCCGGAGGTGATCCGGGGACCCCCAGAACCGGAGGTTGCCCTCCACTGAGGGGGGGGGATGTTCACCAGACGCCGTTTGTGTGTCTTGAGATCTAAACGCAGGCTGGAGAACCACCTCTGCAGGCGGCGCATATGCAGTAACCCGAGTGGGACCACAACGTGAGCCGCCGCCATGAGACCCAGAGTCTGCATGATAGTCAAAGCTGTGATCCCCAGTGATAAAGCTGTGCTACTCTCTGGTGACCCGTCCCGCCGCAAAACTCCCCGCGAAGGGAAGCTCTGCCCATGGGGGGTCGACACAGAAAGGGCCGACTCTCTACTGAGGTCCTTGAACGCGCCACGCTCTCGTGGGAGCCCGCGCTCCGCCATGATGCTCTCACCCAAACAGTGAAATGCATCAAGCGGAGCTTTTACACTCGGCTTTAAATGTTTTCTAACCCTGCTACGCCGGCCATAATGTCCCTGTACCCGCATAGCGCGGTTTATCACTCTCACCCGCGCATGCGCACTAGCTGCCTCCTTTACTGGAGTTACAACCTGGGCAGCGAGTGGGGAATCTGTACGGTCAACATTACGCGGGTGGGTGGAAAGAAAAGACACTCAGACTGGAATACTGGAAGTTATCTTTTTCTATTTTCACTTGAAAAATACGACTTTGTTACCGTTGGGTCAAACAGGGAGGAGGCGGGATTTGCCCTCACGTCCTGGCCGGAGAACTCACCTCTCTCCCCCGGGATGCTTCCTCCCGCCGCCAGTCAACTCCTGGAGGAAGGAGCCCCCCACCCAGTTCCCCTTCGCTGTGGCTGTCCTTGTGAAGGCCGGTACCTCGGGATGGACCGCGGAGGCAGAGGGCACGCCAGGAGTTCTGGGGGCTCTGTACCGGCGCCTCTCTCTCCGCCTTACCACCACCGGGCCATGGCGCCTAGGCTTTCATCCAGTGGGGGCACACCGGGACACTCCGTGTCCGAGTGGTCCTGCAGGATTCCAGCCCATGTCGCCACCGGAGCCTTCGTTCTCAGTGGCTGTGGCCACGTGGCCTCCACACACCACCAGATGTCTGGCAGGGGGGGGTGAAACGAAGGCCGGCTGCGCCGGACCGGCCAGGCCGTAGAAGCCCTGACGTAGGCGGCTCACCGGCCTCTGTGGCAGTGGTGGGGGGAGCGGCAAGCCTGCACGCTCCGCCGCCATAGTCATCACCGCCGGGAAGTCCTGTTGCGCAGACCTATGCTGCTGGCCTTCCTGACGGTCGCCGGAAACATCAGACGACGAGGTGTCGCCATCGTCGTCCCTCTCCCCGACGAGCGGACTCGCCCGGTCCGCTGTAATGGCGAACATGAAGGGCACTCGTTCCTCGAGGTCCTCCATCTCCACCACGTCGAGCTCTGGGTCCTCCACCGGCGAGACGTAGCAATCCTCGAACTGCGCCAGCCGTTGATGGCGACCGGGCCAGGCGCTGCAGACCACAAACGGTCCCATGTTGGCCGCCGCGTGGTCGGACCCCAGGCACTCAATGCACCGACAGTGGGGGTCGGCGCCTTCTATGGCGCCCGGACACGAAGGACAGGGGCGCTCCAATGGTGAGTCCATTTTCTTCGCTTGTTTTATATTTTTATCCGTCTCTCTTCACTCAGTTGGGTCTCACTGCCTTGCTGAAGATAAAGGGATGACAGTAAGGAGGCGAGGCCTCCTTTTATGCGGTGAGATGCGCGCGCATTCAAGTAGGCCCGCCCCGGGGCCGGCTACGTCTAGAAAGTCTCAGTGGATGAATGCTTGCATGATAGGATCAATGGGAAGTACCCATAGAGTCCAGTAGAGGGCGGCGCCTGTGAGAGATATAACAACACCATCAGAGCACGGTGCAAAGTATCTAGATGTCGTACAGTAGTCCGCTGTATAAAAAACTGTAGTTTCCCCACAGCAGACGCACATTTAGGACTGCAGGCCTCTCCACTCCCACTCTAACGGTGCAGCAATCAGCAAAGCGTTCTCCACGTCTTCTCCACACTGTGACCCTACGATCCAAGTGCCGTAGGCAGAATCTGGACTCATCGCTGAACATAATGTTCCTCCACATGTTGAGGTTCCAGTGCTCTGAACATAATGTTACTCCACATGTTGAGGTTCCAGTGCAAGTGGGCTTGACGGTGAAGGGCAGTCATGGCAGGCTCCTGGCAGCTGCTGTTTGGCATTGGCAGAGGAGATTTGTCACATTTTTCATGGGCGCACCCCACATACTCAGCTCTGCTGCTCATCCCACAAATACTTGTTCCTCACAAATGTGGTACCATTGGAAAGGTAAAAAAAAACAGGCTTTCCAACGGTATAAGATTTATTGCATTGTTAAAACATAGAAATCAGGGCCGGTTCTAGCCAATTTGATGCCCTAGGCGAGATTTTAGCTGGATCTTTTTGAACATTTTAAAGTAAAATGCTTCAATCTGGTGCATTTTGAGCACACAATTACTAGAGACCTGATCTAGGGGGTACAACTCTAAAACACCCATATGAAAAAGATCGGTTTACATTTTAATAATCAAATAAGTATGTGAACATAACCAATAACCTACCATAGCCAATAACAAATAAATGTAGGCCTAACTTAGGCCTATTTTATTTTTGTTCATTCATATCTTATTTTACCTAGGCTAGTTAACATTTATTTATTCATGCATATTTTTTTATCTCTCCAGTTTTAAACGATATTTTTGGTTTACTGTCCTATAGTATGTTGAAATGATTTCAAACCTGTTTATCCCAATAATTATAAAGGAGTGCCTTGGAAATATTTGTTTACATAAATTGTGATCAAAACGTTTGAGACCCACTGAGATAACATAGACTAAAGTGAACTATCTAAACACTCGGAGTCATTTACCTCCTTAGCCTCTCAGCCTCCACCCTTGTTGTAGAAACATCTTCTTATATCCGTTAGAGCAGCTAGCACCAGATGCTAATAGCAACAACGCCGGTACCGGTTCACCCTCTCTTGCTTGCTCGCTCCCACGCTCACTCGCACTTTGGCTGTGAGCTGCGGGCACCTGATAAGCCAACATCCCCCACTTTCATCACTCACAGCGCCCATCGTACAGGGCAAATGAAACATGTAACCGGGGTGAAAAGGGTGTTACATTTACTTAATTTAGTGGGAATGCTGATACGGCATTCCAACTATATGTTATGCTACGGACAAAATTCTTATTATTATTCCGCCGACTTATTTTGGCCCTCTTCTCCTCCCACATTCAACATCGCAGAAACTCCGTTCAAACATCAAAACGTTCAGCTCGGTCGGGAATCGCAGGCTATTACTTTTATCATTCATAACTTTCATAATTCCAGAGATACATCCCATAATTCATCACATTTTTAACCATTGAAGTCAATGGAGAAAATCTTCAGACTTGAACAATCTTCATGCGACTTCAACTGCTAACTGTTCATTCATACTTTCACTCAGAAACCTCATTCCAACTTTAAAATGTTACACATCTTTCTGACATTATTCGTGTAACACAACTTTTAAATCTGATTCTTACTTTTAGAGATATTAAACATTGTTCAGACCTTGTTAAAGAGGTTTTCTTCAGATTTTAACATTAACTAGAGTGTGTGATGTCACAGCTAGAGTGGAGCAAATCTTGAAATTTGCCTTCATATATTTTTTTTAAACTGCCATAATTCCCAAACCCTACATTCCTGAGACATAGTTTTTCATGACAAACGTAGGAAAACATCTCGTAGCTTGAAAAATGACAAATAATTAAGCAAAAAATAATTAAACAAAATGCCTCTTGAGGGCATGAAGTGACAAAAACGTTCAACATGTCTCCATTAAAACCCATTGTAATTTCAGGCTGATATTTCCTCACAGCAGCAGCCGCACATCTTTAGTTAAACTGCCAAAAAGGCCACATTATTAACCCGAAAGTACACAAAAATTACACTTCAGATACTCAACTTCCTTGACATGCTTCACGTTTTGAAATTTCACAGATATCCGTTATCGTTCTTCCACAAAACGTTCACATGTAAGAGGTTTATCTCTCATTCAGTACAATGCAAACCTGATCTCTACAGAGCTCGTTAGCTCAACTATAAACACCTGTGTAATGGAACACGATGTCATCACTCCAACTGACATGCTCAGAGCAGCAGACTTCAGATAATGGTTAATGGTCGTGCCCTCAACAGCTCTACGTCAATTATGGGGTGTCATCATATGCCGTTCAAGAGAAGAGAGAGAGGGCGATCAAGAGTCAGTTCTAACTGTTCATTTCATTCTCTCTCTCTCTCTATCTTCCTCTTCCTCAATATCTTCCTCTCTCTATCTTCCTCTTCCTCAATATCTTCCTCTCTCCATCTTCCTCTTCCTCAATATCTTCCTCTCTCCATCTTCCTCTTCCTCAATATCTTCCTCTCTCCATCTTCCTTTTCCTCAATATCTTCCTCTCTCCATCTTCCTCAATATCTTCCTCTCTCCATCTTCCTCTTCCTCAATATCTTCCTCTTCCTCAATATCTTCCTCTTCCTCTTCCTCAATCTCTCTCTCTCGACAGACCACTCGCCGTGAAGCACGATGTCGCTGTAAGTCCAATGGACACGGTCCGATCGTCCTCCAAACTTCGCTTGTATATCACCGGTACAGCCCTCAACAGCTCTACGTCAATTATGGGGTTTCTTTAAATGCCGTTGCCATGGTAACACAAGGCTCGCCATGAAACACGGTTTTCTCATAACTTCAGTGAAAATGCTCCAAACAGCCCAAAACTTCACAGGTTTGGTAACGACGTTGAAGTCCTTTTTAATGATCGAAAAAGCCCTCTATAATCCAGCATCTCCATGACCCAACACAAACGCTCAGACCTTCACTCACTCATTCTTCAGAAGAAATCTAGTTTCCCCAAACTGTCATCTTAGAGCAGCACATTTATTCAAATTTCGCAAATGTACTGATTTATTTTTCACACAAGTTCTTTAATGTAATGTATTGGTCTGTTTCTCTCTCTGTGTGTGTGTCCCCAGCAAATGGACCATGCAGTATATACATTTGAGCAGATTCTCCACCAGAGTCTGGAGTCTCAGGGTACAGAGGAGCTCTGTAAGGCCATCCAGCGCTGCCAGGACAGAGTCATTAAGGTACACACACACTCACAGTTTACTAATAACCTAAATGAGGTATGAGGTATTTATCCAGAGTCGGTGTGTAACCCAGGCCATGGTCCATTTGTCAGAATTTGATCGTCTGCAGCCTCTTTTCCTGATCACATTTAGTTTGGGAACAAAGCAGTTGACTCATGAAATATTTCTTCTTAAAAAACTCCTTTGGCGTTAGTAATGCCAAAGTGTTTTGTTCAATTATTTTGGGTTCAGAAATTTGACTATGACAGCAGCACAGTGAGGAAGCGTTTCTTCCGCGAGGCTCTGCTGCAGATCTTCATCCCCTACATGCTGAAGCAGCTCAGCCCGGCCTGCGGCTCGGTGAGTCCCAACCTGCAGGATTAATGAGACATGAATGCCATCATTTGGTGTGTGTGTATATACAATCCTGAATAACATTTTAAGACTGGGGGGAGAAAAAAAAAAAAACATTAAAAAAAATAGGGTAAGAGTGTAAATATAAAACATTAATATACGCTTTCCATAGTTGTAGTAGTTTGGTATAATGAAGTCTAGTTTATTTCTTTAAATTGGGTATCATACAGATACTCTATGCTTGATAACCTGCTGCTGCTCTTACACAATCAATTCCCAATTTGGGATAATTTAAAGTTTATCTATCCTTCTATACATCTTTAAAAGTCATGGGGTAAAGGAGGATGTTCATATATGTAGAGTAAGATGTTGAAAGGTTTTGATTCTTGTTGTGAACAACAGGAGCTGCCGCGTTTCCGAGAGCTGATCTTCGAGGACTTCTCTCGTTTCATTCTGGTGGAGAACATCTTTGAAGAGGTGGTGCTGCATTCGGTCATGAAGAACATCATGATGGGTCAGTGTTCTCGTCTTCCTTCCTGTCTGATGAGTCCTCTCGAAGGGTTGACCAGACCTACAATCTTTGGGCAGACTTTCAGTTGGTCCAGCAGTTTTGACTAACTGGTGGTGGACAAACACTGTATTACACATGTACTATTGCAATACTGTCGAACACTCAAAAAATATAAGAGGAATTGTCTCCTCGCCCCAAAAGACCTGAGGCGGGGGATTGCAGAATTATTCAATGTTGTGTTTTCAGGAAAGAAGTATTTGTATATATGTTTTTGAGACCACCAATGATCACAATGACACACATTTTGACCTCTTGTGTCTGCAGCTGTGAAGGAGGTGGCGGTCCAGAGGAGACACAATCTCTACAGGGACAGCATCGTCCTCGGCAACAGCGACCCCAGCCTGCACCTGCTCGGAGAAAACCCCTCCATCGACTGGACCGAGGAGTACGGAGGAGCCCAGGAAGAGGCGGAGCCAGCAGGCCAGGCCATTGAGGAGGAGGAGGGGGGGGAGTCTCAGAGGAGGAGGAGGAGGATGAAGCAGGTGGTCTCCATGATCCAGGTGGAGGGCTCCCCAGTGCTGCCCAACGAGTCCTGCATGGAGGTGCCCAGTGTCGACGACATCCTGGAGGAGAAGGATAGAGTTTTTGAGGAGAACTCCGATGAGCACGACCAGGATAGATCTGCAAGTCCCAGCGCTTCAGAGAATGTGACATCTGTGGATGAAGAGAAAGCTAAACCAGAGGAGCAGGGCAGAGAAGAAGTCCCACTGAAGCTCCAATCAGCTGGAGAGGAGAACAGCCGACCCATGGGGGAGCCACAACTGCCATGCAACCAGGAGGAGGCGCCAGAGGAGGCGCCAAAGGAGGCATCAGAGGAGGCGTCAGGGGAGGTGCCAGAGGAGGCATCAAAGGATGCGTCAAAGGATGCGTCAGAGGAGGCGTCAGAGGAGGCGTCAGAGGAGGCGTTACCCCCGCCCCCACCGCCTGAGGAAAGCCTACCTGGAGCCATGGACACAGACCCAGAGGGCCCCCCGGAGCCAGCAGACCTCCCCCTGCCTCCACACGACAACAGTGAGGAGGCAGAGGGACAGGAGGAGGAGCACCCTGAGGGGAGGGCGATGAGTGTTGCCGCAGAAACAGAGACCAGTGATGAATGAGCTCCATTTGAACTGGATACTGCTATGTTCGGTTTTTAGTTTTTATTTGACAAATATTAAATGATACTTCTTTTGGTTTTAACTCCAGGCACAGTAATCACAGATCAGCACATCCTTTTCACCAAGCAGGGCTCAGTTTTTATCGTCATATTATTAAACACGCTTTTTCAGAATAATTTTCACAACTATCCAGCTGACAGAAAATCCTCAGCAGATTCTGAGCTTTCGGTCAACATAAATTCCTCACTTGACTTTCTCTTTACCTGGTATGAATGAGCACAGTGGACGACCGGGGGTCCGTTATGGTGGGTTATGGTATGTTGTGTTGTGTTGAGTGACAGGCTGCAGGGACACCCCAGTTTAGGTGCCTTCGGTGAAATATGTTAATTGGTATAGTTCTTGAGTTCATAAAAAAAAAAAATCATTTTCTCGAATGTGGAACATTAATTCCTTAATTGTGTCAAAGTACTTGCTGGCATCTAAAGACAGGACCACTTGTGTTGGTGGCAAAAACACAAAAGACAAATCTAGCTTTTGTATATTATGTATAAATATTATGGACCCGGGACCTACCAAGTTTTCCTTTTACATTTGATATAGTTTTGTAAGTGCCTTATCAGATCGATCTTTATTTATTGTTATGTATCCCTTTTTTTCACCAATGATTTTTTTACTCTTGTGTGATTCAAATTACTTTCAATGATGATAATAATAAATCATTATCAATTTATTATAATCAGTAGTCATTGTCTTGTTTTTTTTTTATATATATATTTTTTTTTTTTTCAAAAATTGCATTATAATCGGTGACATACAAAAAAAGTAATCTCATTAGGCAGGAAAGTACATGAATATAAGTTTTCACTCAGACGAACATTATACTATATATACTTTATGCTTGTATACTCAAGGCCTTCATTGCCCCACCAGTCGAGTCCTGGGGCCTCATTTATAAACGTGGCGTACGCTCAAAAGATGGCGTAAGAAAATTTCTAAGCAATCTTTGCGATTTATAAAAAACAAACTTGTGTATATTTTGGTCCGTCCTCCACGGACACTCTGGGTGTTTCTCAGTACGCTTGCTTGGTAGCACATGTCTGCCGAGCATCTTGCTTCAGAAGCGAGTCAAGAATACTTCCTGGCATTCGGAAAACGAAGAGTGGAACACGCTAGCAAGTGTGCAGGTGTGCGTCATATGAGAGGCCCCGCCTTACATCTTCCGCCACAGATTTGGGGAAATTGGTCTGTGCACAAAGCATTGTGGGGATTTTAAGACCGCGGCGTCTACACATGTGCAGCCTCGAAATGTCTCGCTACAAAGTACGCCGGGCTCGGTAGATTTCCAAGTATGCTGGAGATTGGAACAGTACTTCGGCGGCACTCGATGACGTAGTATGCTTGAAATAGTGGCTCTGGAGCAGCTTTACTCGCGATTGAGAAACACCCTCTGACCCATGCGTACGCACGAAAACAGGAGAGATGAGAAACTGCGACACCGTTAGCAGAAAGAAGAATGGAGAGAAATAAGTGAACATCATACCATAAATCAAAATATTACCTCATGTATCATATATGAAGAGTTCATTTGCAAAAATGGATAAAAGCCGATCTTAAAATGATTAAACAAACGCCCGTTTGATACTCCTGAGTGCACACAAAAAACATAACTTGGAAAAATAATTAACTACGGATATGTTATTGATCACCCCTCGAATATGTTCTCTTACATGTTATGAAATGTATTCTCTTAAAGGTAGGGTAGGTAAGAATGGAGAAACCAGCTCGAGTGCGCTAGAATTTGAAACTACGCAGCCGAAAAGAATCTGCCCCTTCCTTCAGTCTTCCTTACAGAGCCCCTCCTCCAACACACACGAACGCGCACATGACCAATGAGGGCACGAGATAAATGTGTGCACGAGATGGAAGGCTGGCAGGCAGGTAGGCCAGACCCGGCGCCAGAACAAATCCACAGAGAGGGCATATGATTTTCATGGGAGGGCACACAAAACCGTCATGTGCCGCGGCCAGTGTCGACGCCAGAGATTTTTCTTTTGGGGGTGTGTAGATATTTGTTGATTCTCTCGCGTCCAGGTGAGGAGCTTAAAATAAAGAGACTATTGGAGTCTCTGAAAAGGTTCAAATGGGTACTTTAATTAAATAGCGTGGTAATGAAACAAGCAAAAGGTAAGAGGAGACAAAAGCTGACGTCTCGATGTTGCAGCGTTGAAAAGAGACCGAGCAACCGTCCTCAGTTAGCTTTATCTCCTCCGTGTCTCCTCCTCCGGCTGTGATGAAGGGGGGCCGCCCACCTTACGGCCCCTACACACGGCGGCGTGCGTTGACGCTTCAACGCTTCTGCCCATTCACTTTGAATGGGGTGACGTCACGATTCGCCGAACTGCATTGTGGGAGCAAAGCGTAGCTTTTCTCGCGGTGCTCGCTGCAAAAGTAGAGCAATGTTCTACTTTTGAAGCTGAGGCGGAGGCGTCAGCCAATCAAATCCCGCGTATGCAAATCTGCCAGTACAAGCGCTAGCCAATCAAACCGCGTGTATGCTGGGAGAGCCAGGCTGCGTTTCACTTCTCTTATTTTTCATTTCCTCGCTCCTCGGTCTCGGTCTCACCGGAAGTTGATTTGTCTGCGCCATCTTGAGTAGCGTCCCAATGGCCTTATTTTTGCCGGAGGACCGAGGAGCGAGGAGCGATAATGGAGGAGCTATAACCGAGGAACCACCAGACCATCCTCAGACACTCGCCCCGCCCCCTTACTGTGTATCGCTCACTGATTGGACGATGCAGCGCATGCACTGATCTGATGCTTCTTGACATGAGAGCAGTTTCCCAGCGGAGTGAAAAAAACACATGAAACTCACGGGACTCACTCCTCAGTTTATACTGTTTTGTTTCAATGAATGTATCATTCAGTTACAAATATGTGATATATCTGAACAACAAAGTGGTCAAAAATCATTTTATTCATTTATTGGAAACATTTTCATGATCGCTTTTTTCGTTGTACATTTTCAGTCATAACACACAAGGGGACGGGTAATAACCGGAAAAGCATGACATGGGACCTTTAAGAGGATATGACATGATATCAGCAATACTTCCAGTCAGTACTCCAGCAGCAGCATTTTACACCTTGGAAAGTCTTTAGAGACTGGCCTTCAGCAAAGTGACAAACCCTTGTGACTCTTGTTGGCCTCTTATGACAATGCTGTCTTTTAAATAGGACTATTTCTCTACTCCTAGTTCAGTCCTCTCAGATTATTCCATCAGTCCCAGTCATTGCATGTCAGTCAATAGAGATTCAAAAAATGTGTCCAATTAAACTAAATGTTTTTTTGTGAGTGAAGGCCAGAGCTAAATTATAGAGTGTTTGATTGTGTAATTACAAGGTGAGAGAAAACAATTCCACATCCTCCTATGAAACGTATTTTATTTCCTTCTCCATGTTATAGTTATACTTACTTGTAATAGAACATTTGCATGTTGAACTGCTGGATATCTTCCCCAGCCTCAAGGAAACACAATAAAATGATAAAAATGTATAAATTAATAATGTTGTGTGCCAACATTTCAAATTTAAATATAAAATGATAAAGTTTACTTTTAAATGATTTCTCACAAAAACCTTTCTAAATTATAGTAAATTGTAAATAAAGTTTTAGTCAATATATACGTTTTTTTGCCTAAAATAGTTGAAATTCAACGTAAACTATATCAAACACCACCACCGCAATACATATTGCAAAAAAGGGCTCCAAAAAAGGCATATAACCTGGCCGGCTTAACCAGTCTGTATTTCTTCAAGCACCAAGATTCATAGTTTATAAAGTACAATTCTGGGCCATTTATTGTGTTATTTCTCCAAACACATACAGTAAAAATGCCTGTTATGAAGCCTTAAAATGGTGCAGGAAAAGGACTTTACATTGTATTATACTTAAAGACAGGACTATTCAGTTAAGAGAAGAGAAAAAAGGAAAGCAAATTGTTATAATGGTGATGTAACATTAATGACAGACATAATATGAGGTCCTTGGCACTCAGACTCTAGAGGGGTCATTTTGTGATCATGGGGCATCACCCTTACAGCATCAGGACAATATCATATGGATTCAGACACTGGAAGTGTGCTGGAGGCTGATGCGTTGACTGGGACTGATGGAAGGATGAGGCTGATGAGAATGAAGAGTAAAAAGCAAAAAGCAAAAACGCCTCTCAGACGCTCTTCTGTTTACTTGTTTAATAAAGGAAAACAGTTGGACGGTAGATACACGGATTGTAAATAAATAAAAATGGTCTTCAATTTAAAATAAATATGTTATTTAAACACCAATAGCCTATAGCCTACAGACAAACGTAACTATGAAAATAATAAAAAATTGTAGGATTATTTTATGGGAATATAGCCATTATAGCAATCGCTTAATAATTAGTTTTACTGTTTTGCCTGGTTGGCTGAAGATGATCTTTTAACGTATTGGATCCTACACTTTATATACACTGACCAGGGGCGTCGCCTGGACCTGAAAACATTCGGGGCTTAGCCCACAGTGGCGGCGGCACTACAGTGGCATTTTTCACTGCAACACTCCCCACACACACACACACACAGTACACCCGCGACTGTTACAATGAAGGCTCGATAATCAGCTCACGGCATATAGGCAGGGGTAAAGTGGTATTTTTTATGAGTGGGGGGCTCACCTCCTCTAGGGGGGTCCGGGGGGATACTCCCCCGGGAAGATTTTTTTTTAAATATTGAAGTTAAATGCATCAATCATTTTTGAGAGCAAAATGAAGAGATCTTTGGATACCTCTCTCAACACCCATATGAAGCAGAACTGTAAACAGATGTACTTTTTCTTTATGGATATTTTACTAATCACTCCCCTTTTAAACTCTATTCTTGTTTTACTGCCATATAGTATTTCATAACTGTTTTTCCTTTATTCTCTTATTTTTTTATAACTATAATGATCATATGAAGGTGTGCCGCGGAAATAATCTTTTGAATAATTTGTGACCAAACCGTTTGAGACCCACTGAGATAACGTAGACTAAAGTTATGTATCTAAACACTCAGAGAGTCCTTTAGCTCACCTGAGTCTCTCAGTCTGAGAGGAGAGGACTATCCTCCAGCTTCTTGTGGAACAAACAGCTCCTTATGTCTGTTAGTGCAGCTAGCTAACCAGATGCTAACAACATGGTCCATGCTGGCACCGGTCCCTCCCTCCCCCTCTCTCCCCCTCTCTCTCTCTCTCCCTATCACACTAAACGCTAGTGATGTGTCGGTCGCGAACGAGCCGGCTCTTTTAAGTGAACGACGGGAGCCGGCTCGCGCCCGCGAACGAGCCGTTTTTTTTTGTTATTTTGTTAAGTAATACAAGACAGAAAGATATGATGATCTCCGCGCTACAGCTGCTCCGTGCATGCATGCAGTGACATGTAATATCCAAGGATTAGAGACTGTTGGATGCTGCTGTTTTGAGCATTGCAATACATTTATTTGTATTATGTTTTTTTATGATTAGAGACGGTTGGATGCTGCTATACTGAGCATTGCAATATATTTATTTTCACTATGTTATTTATTTATAATTATCCTTGGGCTCAGCAAAGATTTGATGTCAGCTGTTGCTGTCTTTTTTTCTATAGTTAATACTGAAATAGAGCCCTGCTGTTTTGTCAGGGCCTTTTCTTTAAATATAATTTTAAAATGTCGATACAGTAGCCCCTTTTTTAAAATGTCTATGCTTAAGTTTTTATCTCAATCTCAATCTTTATTTATTTATATAGCCCATTTAAAACAACCTTCAGTTGACCAAAGTGCTGTACAGGCAATACATATTAAATAACACAATGGGAGTACAATAATAAAACAATAATTAAAAACATGATAAAAAGCACAATAACTAGAAAAATATTAAAAAAAAACACATACTAATGTAAAAATGTAATGTTCAACTAGTATTAAAAGCCAGTGCAAAGAGGTGAGTTTTTAGCTGAGATTTAAAAAGTTCAATAGACTCAGCAGTCCGGATATGTACTGGGAGGCTGTTCCACAGTCTGGGAGCTGCAACACTTAAAGCCCTGTCACCTCTGGTTTTTTATAGGTGTTGCTATTTGCTTTGTGTAGCGTGGTTCTACAAGCAAGTCTGTGCATTCATTGGGTGGTATCAGAGAGATACAAGGGTCTGTAAATGCAATGAAAACAATTGGCCACAGCAAATAATTGATATTAAACATGTAATTTTTACTTTTGAATACTTCAGTACAAAGGATGTATTGAATAATTTAAGTGATATGTGTCCACATATAAATCATTAGTCAAAACAGGGCTACATTTGATTGAATTATAAAAGGTATAATATGTGGTAAACTGAAGAGCCGTTTGGGAGCCGAAAGAGCCGGCTCTTCTTGGTGAGCCGAGCCAAATGATCCGGCTCACCAAGAAGAGCCGGAATTCCCATCACTACTAAATGCGCTATTGCCACACACACACACACAGAGCCGAGCTTGAATGACACAAGCACACGTTTATTTCCATGCAACTCTCTGATTGGTCTGGTGTCATGCCTCTGTTGCATTCACCGAACACGGGAAATTACAGTGCTGCCGTCCTCTCTTGTGTCATGATGAGGTTCACGTAAAGCACGGTTAATGTATTATATTATTGAGGGAGAATTGTCCGGGGCTACAGAAAAAACATTCGGGGCTAAAGCCCCGGATGCCCAGGCCAGGCGACGCCACTGACACTGACTATACAGTCTATGATCATAAACAGCACCTGAAGGCAGCTCGAGGGAGCGCAGCGTGCTGACGTCATACCTACAGTACGTGTCCCTGCTACAGCTCAGCAGAAGACACCAGCCTCCATCAGTACTCCAGTCATCGGTGCATCTATGTCGGCAGTCCACGGCGGGGAGCACAGACCCCGCGGTGAACACTCTCGAGGCCCCGGAGGACCCGTGCTGCTGGCCCTGGCTCCTGAATAGTTTTGCTTTAACAGTTGTTGGTATTTTTTCGAGTCTTCTCCTGCCTCGCTAGGGGATGGATGGGGAATGATCCACGCAGACCGTCCTCCTCCGCCTCCTCCTCCGCCTCCTCCGCCTCCTCGGTAGCTCCGTGTCCCGACTCAGGCCCCGGAGCTCTGCCCGGGATGAGGACCCTGCTCCCCCGGGCTGCGGTGCTCGCAGCCCTGCTGGCGCTCAGTTCCTGCCTGACAGGTAAGAGCTGCAGTGGGCCTCAGCACTGCCGAACCGCCCTCTCTGTGCTCGGAGACCCTTGCTCACATGACATCTGATATTGTTGCTGTGGACACCTTCAGCAGTTCATGATGACCCTCTGTACTCACTCACACTCTAGGGTCTCTAGCCTGTTGTCTATATGTTCTCAGGGGGTCTGCAGTGTATCTGCACAAACATCTGTTTAACTCTTTTGGTATGAATATTATAATTGTTGAACATTTTGGTAAAAAGTACCCTTTTTTGCCATATTTATATTTGATGATGAAAATGATGTGTGATTGATATAAATAAGGCTTGTTTCTTGATAAATTCAGAAAATGTCAGAATATAGTAAGAGATGTCAAATGGAACTTCAAAAAGCCAAAAGTGATATATTCAAGCGGCTTGTGTGGTTTGACACTGTTTGCTGAAGGACCATGGCTAATATGAAAGAGAGTACGTCATAAGACAGTTGAAATGATTTGGGGGATGAAAGCAGAAGTCTTAGGGTGTGACGGTGGGCATGCTGAGGTGTCAGAGCCTCAGTAACCATAGAGACGTGGGTGCTGTGCTCTGGTTGTCCTCAGAAACACATTCCTGCTGCCAGAGCTGAAGAGCTCTTACTGACCGGGTGATCATGTGATGTCACACAGTTTATTCTGAGGCTCACATTCCCATCGTGATAGTGCTTGACATCAGGACACTGTGATGCAAACTGTTTTACAACACATGACAGTGATCAGAACAGAATCCAGACCATCATGTCACACTTCTGTACTTTTCTCACTGAAACAGGGATGACATTATTTAATGCAGATCCTCATCATTAAGGCCAGTTCCTGAAATGTAATGTCCCGTTCCACTTCAAATCAATGGATGAAAAGTCCATTAAATTAACAACCATGACTGGATGTCATTCCAAAACAATAAGTGCAATAGATAATCATACAATTATTCTCAGTGAAATATTGAAGGTGTGTAATAGAGGATAAACCCAACTGATCTAATTTCACTCACCTTTTGAAACTGAGATGAACACTATAGTATTAAATAATTGTATACATCCAAATATTGTAGTGATATGCGTTAAAGAGGTGAAATAATTATTATATTTCGGGTTATTCTCACTCTGAAGATTGCTGATTGAAGGTAATGTTAAAATTAAAAAAGATTTTCATCATTAAAAAAAGTATCAAGTTTGGACGAAGGTACGTTTTAACCGTTTGTTTTTTAGTTCAAATTGAAACTAAAAAAAGAGCAGAAACGGGTCGTTTTTTTGTTTTTCAATTTTGCCCCAAAACGAAAAAACGGAAATTCAGCTCGTTTTTTCGTTTTTCTGTTCTTACTGTTAAAACAAGTATACCACTCAATGTTTCGTTTCCATAAGTTGGTGCGTGTCCAGCGCCTCCTTGCTTCTGATTGGCTAGTGTGCCCTATGCTTGCGCTGTACCCTTCAAAATAAAGGTTCTACGTCTTTGCCTTTAGACTGCGTTACAAATATACGTATGTATGTTCATACATGCAGAAAGTACAGAAGACAGTCTGTCCGTATGTCTGTCTTATGTCTGTCTGTCTGTCTCTATGGCTTTCTATCTCTCTGTCTGTCTGTCTGTCTGTCTGTCTGTCTTTCTGTAACTATATTTTAGAGTTTAAAGCGTAGCCACTTTTACTCCACTACATGTATTTAAAACCTTTAGTTACTTTACAGATCTGGATGAATGATGTGAAATATAATCAAGTGTTAAATCAGACTTTAGTTCCACCTGGAGTAAATTCACAAGCTACCCTGCAGTATACAAAGTCATTCAAACTAGCTGCACCTTTACCAGCTTTGAGAACACTTTCATGATCAATCATTATAAAACATATCATATATATTATTCTGAAATGGAACAATCTGCACAATGACTACTTTTACTGTCGCTACTTTCACTAGATTTTGATGATAATACTTTTCTACTTTCACTTGAGTAACATTTTGATTGCAGGACTTTCACTGTAACAGAGTATTCCTACACTCTGGTACTTCTACTTTTACTCAAGTACAAGACCTGAGTACTTCTACTTTTACTCAAGTACAAGATCTGAGTACTTCGACAATGGTTGATTTCCAAATGTTCTGTTGGTGCGTGGATGATAAAATAATAGCGTTTGATTGTATTGCCTTACGTATGCAGCTATTTGCCTGTGTTTAGAAACATAATTAAACATACCATGGACACACATTCAAACAATTATCCATTTATTAAACATTGCAGATGAACAATTAACAAGTCATACAGCTAAAGAAAACTACAACAATTATTTTCTGTATGATGATATCATGGAACCTGGAATTTGAACACACACCACTTAACAATAAACAATAAACTTAACAATAAACGACTGAACTGCTGTCCACTTTAGGGTAGGGCCCTTAAAGCATCCAGTGCTGCAGACAGTCCAGCAACCTGGGTATACACTGGCTCCTGATCCCTGCACTTAAGGCATTGGGGAGATGTTATCCTCCACTCCTCCACACAGAGCCTGCATCCCACGATGCTTCGGCAGCAGGAGGAAAACATGGGTCCAGTCATTGTTTCTTTAAAAAGAAAAAAGACAGGTTTTTAAAGATATGCTGTTAGTTACTGATTGATGTCATGGACTGTATTTCTGAAGCATGCACTCAAACTGAGAAAGATACTGTTCAGAAATAGATTTGAAAAGATGAACTTAGAATAATATGAAAATCCGGCACCTATACGTTTTATTTTTTAAATACTGTTTGTTACGGTACGTCTACACAGCAGCGTTAAAAAAATCTTGGAGGTGGGCGTATCTGAAGCTTGAGGATTTTTTGCGAGCAACCAATCACATGAATCTCCCGCCCGCGACATACGAAGCAAAAAAGCCAGAAGTTTTTTTAACGCTGCTGTGTAGACGTTCCGTTACACTGAGCATTATTCAAAGAGAGGATGAAAACGATACCTCTGCAGATCAAACAGCTAAATGCCTGTTTGACTTCTGGCCTTGGTACTACCAAGTCATGGCTGGCTGCCACTATGTCAGAAATCTTCCTGGTGACTTCTTCCAGGCCTTGGGATGCATCCAGCAGTTCCCCCACCTTGTTGCTCAGTGTGTGGACTTCAGATACCTCATTTCTGTTTTTGTCACAGTTTGAAAATAGTTTAAGTATTAGCAGTCATTTAAGATTTTTTCTTCATTTTATTAGAGATAAAAGAAAGTATTCCGTGGCAAATTAGATGATGCTAAATAAACAAGAGCATGTGGAAACATTTCATTTCTTGAAATTACATTTAAAGGTGGGGTAGGTAAGTTTGAGAAACCGGCTCGAGATACACTTTTTGTTATATTCCATGGAATGCTCTTAACATCCTGATAGCAATGAATATCTTAAGTGCTTTGACAAAAAATCCATAAAAAAATATCATCTGTGGAAGCCGTAATACTGTAAAAAGTACGACCAATTATTTTAGCCGGCCCGGCTAAAATAACTGGATGGCCTACCTGCCTGTCAGCCTTCCATCTGTGCACAAACTTATCTCGTGCCCTCATTGGTCATGTGCGCGTTCGTGTGTGTTGGAGGAGGGGCTCTATAAGGAAGTGGCAGATTTTCTCCGGTTGTGTATTTTCAAATTCTAGCGATCTCGAGCCGGTTTCTCAAACTTACCTACCCCACCTTTAAAGGATATTGTTTATAAATGCTGATTGTAGAACTGATGTTGACTGTGACTCTTCATACCATGTGCTGACCCACAGAGTACTGAGGTGTGCTACAGTGAAGCCCATGCTTATGCATGCCTGCCCCAGATGGCAATCTTATATAGCCCTTGAGCTGCAAAAATGCTAAATGGCCAGAAAGCAGCCTTTTTCAAATAATGAGAGGGTTTTGCCAGTCTGTTGTTAGCGAGTAAAATAAAGTGAAATGCTGCACATCGTGACCCTTCAGTTTGAGTGCTAGCCCTTCTTTACACATTACATTATTTCCCCTATTGATAGACCAGTTCAAACCTTCTCCAGACAAAATCAGTTTTGTTATCCAACCACACCTGCTTCTTGAGCTTCTTCGACGCCATTGCCTGAAAGCAGAACTCTCAACAGCATGGATCTTTCTTGCATTCGGCTTCCAGTACAAAGACCCTTTATGAGAGAAATAAAGAGTAAAGACACGTGAAAATAAAATGTTAAAAGGGGCACATTGTTGTACTGATAGCACTTTCAGACCCTTATCTTTTGCACAAATCAAAATGAAATATAGAATAATTATATTTACCAGTTGTCCCTTCAGACTCAACGATTTCATTCCCAACGGTGTCTGTAAGGATGTACTCCTCACTGTCTCCCATGGCCACATTCACTTTTCCTGTGATCAGTGGAACGCTTGCCTCTGATTCAACAAATCTGATCATGACCACCCTTGTGGAAACAATCTTTCCATCCATTATGTCTGACACATGTATTGACCTGTAATGCAAAAAGAACAGTGACACGCATTTAGTTAGCAACATGGACTAAAACGTAACATTCTAAAGCATGCCAACGTATGAAATGGGCATCTCATTACCTTTGAAATGACCGAGGGGTGCTACTTGATCTAGTCAACTGACTCATGTTTGCAGTAGACATTGGCTGACTATGACGGAACTAAACCTTGAAGACAACATCACACGATATTGTGTGTCCACTCTTACCTGTCGGGTAGCCAAAATTGGACTTGACCGGATGGTGCAGTCCTGGAATGCACACAGAATCCAAGGTTTGTATAGCAGTTTTCAGAATGTTACTTAAGCCCCATAACAAATGACCTTCTTTATGCATTTTTATAAGTTGTACTTATATCCTACATTTGTTTCTCTCTGTATCCCCTTTTTTACACTAGGTTGATGGAAATGTTTAAATGTGGCATATATATATTCCAATATTTCAATAATTGTCTGAGTAAAGACATATCTAATCTAGTTTATAGATTGCTCTTATTGCATGAAACATATATATCTGGTAAGTAAACAGTACAATTAAAAACATACTTTTTAAAGTTTGTAAGAAGTGTACTAATAGCACAAGTAACATTTGTTGTACTGCACTATTCCACATCATAACTTTATTTCATTTTTATAACTATTATTATTTTTGTATTGCTCATGCTCTTATTGTTATTATGTTATGTTATTATGTTGCATTGTTGGAGAAGCCTGTGACATAAGATTTTCAACTGCATAATTACTCTGTAGCTATGTCAGATTGACAATAAAGAACCTTGAACCTTGAACCTTGAAAGGGCAGGCCATGATTACACGCTGTGTGAGGTTCATTGATATGCATGATATGTAACATTACACTAACAATGGCCACTTATTTGTGCTTTTTTTTTAAGGTAAGGGTATCCCAGATCAACTTGCTCATGGTGGATGCCCAAAGAGACTGCCTGCAGATTTTTTGCCTGAAGCTACAGATGCTGCAGACTGCTATCATCAGGAAGTGGGGTCCTCTCTGACACGAGTGTCGCTGTTTGGGAGAAACCCATTTGCCACTGTGGAGCACCAGACAGCAGCTGAACAAGAATTTGCAACGAACTATGCGGACATTGCTGAACTCTTTGAGCGTGCCATTCATAACGAGCCAGCACCATTCCAAAACGGGATAAAGGATCTCATAGACATTGTAAGAAGATATGTGGAAAGGCAAGTGCAGGGATCAGGAGCCAGTGTATACCCAGGTTGCTGGACTGTCTGCAGCACTGGATGCTTTAAGGGCCCTACCCTAAAGTGGACAGCAGTTCAGTCGTTTATTGTTAAGTTTATTGTTAAGTTTATTGTTAAGTTTATTGTTAAGTTTATTGTTTATTGTTAAGTGGTGTGTGTTCAAATTCCAGGTTCCATGATATCATCATACAGAAAATAATTGTTGTAGTTTTCTTTAGCTGTATGACTTGTTAATTGTTCATCTGCAATGTTTAATAAATGGAGAATTGTTTGAATGTGTGTCCATGGTATGTTTAATTATGTTTCTAAACACAGGCAAATAGCTGCATACGTAAGGCAATACAATCAAACGCTATTATTTTATCATCCACGCACCAACAGAACATTTGGAAATCAACCATTGTCGAAGTACTCAGATCTTGTACTTGAGTAAAAGTAGAAGTACTCAGGTCTTGTACTTGAGTAAAAGTAGAAGTACCAGAGTGTAGGAATACTCTGTTTCAGTAAAAGTCCTGCATTAAAAATGTTACTCAAGTAAAAGTAGAAAAGTATTATCATCAAAATCTAGTGAAAGTAGCGACAGTAAAAGTAGTCATTGTGCAGATTGGTCCATTTCAGAATAATATATGTGATATGTTTTATAATGATTGATCATGAAAGTGTTCTCAAAGCTGGTAAAGGTGCAGCTAGTTTGAATGACTTTGTATACTGCAGGGTAGCTTGTGAATTTACTCCAGGTGGAACTAAAGTCTGATTTAACACTTGATTATATTTCACATAATTAATCCAAATCTGTAAAGTAACTAAAGGTTTTAAATACATGTAGTGGAGTAAAAGTGGCTACGCTTTAAACTCTAAAATATAGTTACAGAAAGACAGACAGACAGACAGACAGACAGACAGAGAGATAGAAAGACATCGAGACAGACAGACAGACATATACATAGAAAGACAGACATACGGACAGACTGTCTTCTGTACTTTCTGCATGTATGAACATGTATATACATACGTATATTTGTAACGCAGTCTAAAGGCAAAGACGTAGAACCTTTATTTTGAAGAGTACAGCGCAAGCATAGGGCACACTAGCCAATCAGAAGCAAGGAGGCGCTGGAGACGCACCCACTTATGGAAACGAAACATTGAGTGGTATACTTGTTTTAACAGTAAGAACAGAAAAACGAAAAAACGAGCTGAATTTCCGTTTTTTCGTTTTGGGGCAAAATTGAAAAACAAAAAAAAAGACCCGTTTCTGCTCTTTTTTTAGTTTCAATTTGAACTAAAAAACAAACGGTTAAAACGTACCTTCATCAAGTTTGTGTAGAAATATATATATTTAGTAATATTTGTATATAATGCAAGTTCATACTATAGTGATCATTTAAAAACTTGAACACTAAAACAAATACATAAGATAAGAGAAACCTTCCTGTCGGGAAGTTCATGTGTTTAAGCAGAGACAGGCAGCAGGTAAGAGTTCTCTCAATACATCAGTAGTCATTTGGTGCTAAGTATCTTAGCCAAGGACAATTTGACATGTTGGCTGCAGCCCAGCTGCTAAGCCATGTGTAGCTCACTGCTGTCTGAAGTACAGTGTGAAGGGGGGCAGGGCCGGCCCTAGACTTTTGGGGGCCCTAAGCGAGCTTTGGCTTGGAGGCCCCCCTCACTCTAGCGCGTTCTCACTTCACACAACACGGAACCAACTTTTGTCTTATGATGTTAGCATAAGCACACATGTTGTATAATAATCATGTAAACACCGTGGACCTAACCTCCTCTAGGGGGGTCCTCACCTCCTCTAAGGGGGTCCTCACCTCCTCTAGGGGGGTCCGGGGGCATGCTCCCCCGGGAAGATTTTCTTTTTAAATATTGAAGTTAAAAGCATCAATCTGGTGCACTTTGAGAGCAACATTAAGAGATCTATGGATACATCTCTCAACACCCATATGAAACAGAACTGTAAGCATATTTGTCTTTATGGATATTTTACAAATCACTTAAACTGTATTCTTGTTTTGTCATATGTTTGTTTGTTTGTTTGTAGCCTTTATTTAACCAGGTTAAAAAATCCCATTGAGATCAACGATCTCTTTTTCAAGGGAGACCTGCGGTACATTGGTTACACATAAAAACAACAGAAAACAAAAAGGATATCACAACATAATTACAGGGGTATAAATTAGCAACCTATTCACAGTGACAGGTATCTAATAACATTTCATCCAGCCGTGCTTTAAAATTATGCAAGGGAATCAAAATGCTCAGTTTCAATGTTTTTTGCATAGTGTTCCAAGCTAGAGGAGCAGCGCACATAAAAGCTTTAGTACCTAAAACAGTCCTAGCACTAAAACAGTCCTAGCACACATTATAGTATTTCATAACTGTTTTTCATTTATTCTCTCTGGCTGTCCATCTCATAATGTTCACATAGAAACTAGCTGTCAATAGGAATATCATTCAGAAGAATTATCATTTCTGTCACAAAAAGAGGTTGCACATTTAAATTCAGGTGTTGTTATGGCAACGTCAGTGGCCCAACAGCCACATTTACCAACCTGGTCTCACCAGAATGCGTGACTCCACCACGACTCCTTAACACCGTAGTGCGTGGTGGAGTCACGAACTTTGCTACATTTGCTACGTTACCTGGTGATTTCAAAGAAAGCTCTCTGGGAAATGTTGACTTACTGTTCGACATGAAGCTAGAAGCTACCTTACAGTACACAGTTGATCCTGAGTCCTGTCAGTTAAAGTGTTTCATAGTTAGCTTAGCTAAGCATCAACCTAGCACTGAAATATATGGATGTTATGTGACAGTATTTCTGAGAAAAAGTCAGCTGAAATGGTGGCATAGTTGCCACTGCTTGACAGCATGTTTGAAAGTATTTGCAGCAGTAAATGTCAACCTGGTCTCACCAGAATGCGTGACTCCACCACGACTCCTTAACACCGCAGTGCGTGGTGGAGTCATGAACTTTGCTACATTTACGTGTCTGCACCACGCAAACAACCCCAATGTAAAGTGAATGAGGCTCCTTTGTCGTGGTGCACACACGCAGTTCTACAACGTCCAACATTGAGCTTTTATTCTATAAAACGTTTTTAAAATCTACTTTATAGCTTGTAGTAACTCACGGGAGGCTTCTTTTATTTTATTTGTATTCATAATAATTTTTATTTTTCGTCAGAATGTATGCATTATTCACCAATTTTTGTTCTCAAAAAACAGTGCGTTGTGTGTAATACAACTGTGATTTTTATTAAATTAGTTAGTTTTTAAGGAAGGCCAGAGTTCAGCTGTGTCAAATACATTGTTCCCTTTAGTTAACGTTATTTAAAAGATAATTATATTCCTATTTGATCATGTCCCCTTTATTGTATTACGGACGCAGAGAGCAATGTGAGCGTCCATTCCCATTGGATAACGGAGGATTTTACACCCGGAAGTAAGTATTCTCCTTACTGTCGATTGATTTTATTTACAGTGATATCTGCACTACTCATCAACTCAAAAACACCAGATTATCCTTGTTAATTACACAACATTGATTGGTGTAAATTGTGTACAATGCTTTTGTATTTTCCCCTTTCGATTCGGAGAAACAAATATTTTTTCGTAGTGTGTGGATGGCAGAAGACACTACACTACCCAGAATCCTCAGCTATGGGACTACACCATGTGCTTAGAACTGTCCTACCCCCCCCCCCCCTTAGGTCACAGGCTCCTCCAACAGTGCAACACAATAAAACAGATACACAGACAAAATAGTGCAAGTAAATACAAAAAGAAAAATAGTAAAATAGTAAAAAGTGAAATAGTGCAATAAGAGTCTATATACATGTGATTGGAATATGATATATTAGATAAATAACTTCTAAGTAGCAGCCAGATGAATGTTATGGATGTTGTTTGAAAGTTCAGGTGTTTAATAGTCTTATGGCCTGTGGGATGAAGCTGTCCCTGAGTCTGGTGGTTTTAGTCCGGATGCTGCGGTACCGCCTGCCAGACGGCAGCAGACAGAACAGTTTGTGGCTGGGGTGATGGGGGTCTTTTATAATCCTGAGGGCTTTCTTTAAGGTTAACCTGGTATTTTTACTCCACTACATTTATTTTAGTTACTTTACAGATTTGGATTAATGATGTGAAATATAAACAACCCTTAAATCAGACTTTAGTTACACCTGAGTAAAATTCAGTGAATTCAGCCAACAATCAGGCGAGATATTTGGTAGTGGGTGCTTGAGAAGACTAAATATTTATCTGCAGATCCCTATAAAGCATATTCATTACTCGTTATTCTCTACTAATAGTTAATTAAAAACTGTATATAATAGCTATTTTGCATATCCCTTTCAAGATTTCAAGATTTTCTAAGGTTTATTGACATATCATATACACAACTACGGTGTAGTTATGCAAGTCACAGGTTCCTTAACAGTGCATTACAAGACATCTATCGATATCTGTGTACCTCCACCATTAAACATATTCTGCACCTTTCTTATACTATCTACATACATCTTATAAGAGTATAATTAATATGTATAATATCAGTTAAAATAAGTGCTTCAACATAGTTAACATTGCAGGAAAGTTGATTGTCAATTTCCAAAACAAACCATGCAATATATTAGACGTTAAGTACTTTGTCAGGCTTAATATCTGTAGATACCCCCAAAGCTTTTTTCTTATTTAAAAGAAGACCTTAACCTAAAGTATTCTTTAATGTTTAAATAAAGCCTTATTAGTTTGTCTGTTTTGCACATCCTCCTATCAGGCACTAAACTGTTTTATTGTAGAGATCACTTACAGTATCTTCTTGATATTTTCTATTCTATATTATATATATCATTGACCTTCCACTTTCCCACTATATTAAGAGTATGTACTCTTAATATTTAAATGTTTTCATCAAATATAACACATTCAAAAGTGCTTTACAAAAATGAAAGACATTAAGAAAAAGGCATTTTAAAACAGTCATTAAAAAGCAACACAATCTACCTGCATTGCAATTACTCTAAACGTGTAATAACGTGCTTTAACCAGTAGGAGGTGCGGGTTAAAAAGCTGTCAAGTTTACAGTGTTAACAAAATAAAATATACTGCTGTTTCTGGTTTGGTTTACGACGGATATATTCTGTTATTGTTTTGATATTTGTAACACAAAAGCGATGTAAAAAACCCACAGCAACACAGAAAACATGGTCTTAACATGACCCAGCGGTCTAGTAGTTAATAAAAAACAATAATATCAAAACAAATTATTACTACTAACTTTATTGTGAAATTAAAACAGAACGGTAAAAGAATAGTTTCCGGTCTATTCTGAGGCCCGATCTCTGTAGATAAATAAAGAACTACGACAGATGTGTAATGTTTAATGCAGCCAAACCATTCATTACAATGCATTCATGTGATGACTTTCAAAGAGTAAAGCAAGCACTGCTGAATAAAGTATGATTTTATCTTTTACGAAACGTTTTTTTTCATATGGAATGCAGTTGGAGGTCAACCAATCACAGAGCTTGAGGCAAAGCGGAACAATAGCTGAGGATTCTGGGTAGTGTAGTGTCTTCGGCCATCCTAAACTCTGAACAAATATTTGTTTCTCCGAATCGAAGGGGAAAATTACAAAAGCATTGTACACAATTTAAACCAATCAATGTTGTGTAATTAACAAGGATAATCTGGTGTTTTTGAGTTGATGAGTAGTGCAGATATCACTGTCAAATCAATCGACAGTAAGGAGAATACTTACTTCCGGGTGTAAAATCCTCCGTTATCCAATGGGAATGGACGCTCACATTGCTCTCTGCGTCCGTAATACAATAAAGGGGACATGATCAAATAGGAATATAATTATCTTTTAAATAACGTTAACTAAAGGGAACAATCTATTTGACACAGCTGAAGCTCTGGCCTTCCTTAAAAACTAACTCATTTAATAAAAATCACAGTTGTATTACACACAACGCACTGTTTTTTGAGAACAAAAATTCGTAACTAATGCACCATAATACATTCTGACGAAAAATTAAAATTATTATGAATACAAATAAAATAAAAGAAGCCTCCTGTGAGTTACTACAAGCTATAAAGTAGATTTTAAAAACGTTTTATAGAATAAAAGCTCACTGCTGGACGTTGTAGAAATGCGTGTGTTCACCACGACAAAGGAGCCTCATTCACTTTACATTGGGGTTGTTTGCGTGGTGCAGACACGTAAATGTAGCAAAGTTCGTGACTCCACCACGCACTGCGGTGTTAAGGAGTCGTGGTGGAGTCACGCATTCTGGTGAGACCAGGTTGACATTTACTGCTGCAAATACTTTCAAACATGCTGTCAAGCAGTGGCAACTATGCCACCATTTCAGCTGACTTTTTCTCAGAAATACTGTCACATAACATCCATATATTTCAGTGCGAGGTTGATGCTTAGCTAAGCTAACTATGAAACACTTTAACTGACAGGACTCAGGATCAACTGTGTACTGTAAGGTAGCTTCTAGCTTCATGTCGAACAGTAAGTCAACATTTCCCAGAGAGCTTTCTCTGAAATCACCAGGTAACGCTAAAAAACATTACATTTAGATTGTATGACAAAGTGTTTATTTAAAGTGGACCTATCATGCTATATTTGAATAATATAGTGTAGGACCATACCTATATAAGGCATATTTATACTTACCAGCAGAGTGTATCAGGACCTGGAGAGCTGGGTTCACCTCATTGCACCTCTTCATGCCTTCAGGTCGCTTTTTTATTGGGACTGCTTATGATATTTGTTTATCTCATGCAATTGGGTAATACCATACAGTTGTGGTGTGCGATGAAATGTGTCAGCCATGCAGTTACGGTTAACAGAGAACAGAACACAAGCTATACGAAAAAGCGGAAGTGGGAACTTGTGGGGAACCATAAATACTTTAGTTATTTTGTTAAAACCACAGAAGCTCAAGCTACTGATAAATGTAAATGAGGGTTACACACATTTCTCCGTCTGTTTGTTGTTTTTCTGCTCAGGGCCACAGGACAATAGGGTAACAAATATCTGATGAATATCTACATGGAATTTTCACAGTGGAATACTTACATTAAAGTGGACCTATCATGCTATATTTGAATAATATAGTGTAGGACCATACCTATATAAGGCATATTTATACTTTGTTTTTTTCAAAATACCAAACAGATCATGCATTTTAGCCATGCCTCATTTTGCTCAATTTGACATTTTTGAGCTCTGTTTTTGCAAGGGCTGATTCTGTGAGAACAGCACCACCTACAGGCCTGGCATATGTACTACAGCGTCTCCAGCGCTTTCGAACGGCAATGGCCGTGGCTGTCTCCTCCTGATTGGTGGAGTTGGCCCAATAGCCGTAGCGCCACTGTCCTGACGTCAGGACAGTGTTCAAATCTGGATCAGTTTTTATCAGATCCGTTGCAGCCCCTTTTTTAGAGATTTGGGTATGGAGGAAAATAGAGAGGGTTGTGTTTTCTGACACTTGGTGAGTTCCCTGGAACACCGGGGACACATATTCATGTATAAAAGACGTACAAAAGTGCATTTTGCAGGATAGGTCCCCTTTAATATATCTGGCTAGCTATAGCTACTTGCTAACAGTTTAGCTTACCCCCGCGATTCAAAGTAACGTCAACGTAGCTGTAATTTATGCTTTGCTTACATGTTCCCATAACTTGGAAGTTTACTGACATTTACATACCTTGTTTACCTGTGGCTCTGGGGTTGTTGTGTGAGCCACCACTTGAGAATTCTCGTCTTTTTTAAGAAAATGTTTACTTATGTCCATCTTCAAAAACTCTGAGTCCGACTGACAGTTTATTTTAAACATTGTCACAGCTCACAGGATAGGTACCTGTCATCCAATAAGACAGATGTTTATTTCCATTCAACTCTCTGGTTGGTCTGGTGTCTTGCCTCTGTTGCATTCACTGAACACGGGAAATTACAATCCTGCCGTCCTCTCTAGTGTCATGATGAGGTTCAGGTAAAGCACAGTTAATGTATTATATTATTGACTCAATAATATAATACATGACTTTGAGAGTAGGCAATCTAGGCATATTAACAAAATTAATTAATCATACTTATCACGGCGACGGTGTACTGAGTTTTTTTTTTTTTTGCTAGGGGGCCCCTTAGTGGCTGCGGGGCCCTAAGCGGCCGCTTATGTCGCTTAATGGGTCGGGCCGGCTCTGAAGGGGGGTGTCAGGAGGCTCAGGTGTTGCTTCTTGCTGTGCATGGTAAAGCAGCATTCTGTTGTTATGCTCCAAATATCTGGAACAAACTCCCAGAAACCTGCAGGTCCGCTGCAACTCTGACTACTTTTAAATCCAGGCTAAAGACTTTACTTTTTGCCGCTGCTTTTAATTGATATATTCATATCTTAAACTGCACTTACATTTTATTATCTTTGCTTTTTATCTTTGCCTTTAAATGAGTATTTTTAAATGTCATTTTATATCATTGCTTTTAAATGAGTGTTTCTAGATATCATTTTATAATATGTTTCTTAATGCTCTTAATGTCTTTCATTTTTGTAAAGCACTTTGAATTGCCTTGTGTTGAAAGGTGCTATATAAATACACCTGCCTTGCCTTGTGCTGTTTCTGTGATGTCATTCTCCCAGTGCTAAGGTTCAGTTTCTTGAAAAGTCATTGTGGATTTCTCCACAGGATCTCACCTGTGCCCTCGGAGTTTAGACTGTGCCCGGGCAGGACGGGGCTTCTGCCCCCCGGGCGGCTCCCACTGCGGGCCCTGCCTGCGCCCCCTACTGGAGAATGCCCACGGCCGCTGTGTGGTCCAGAGGAGGCACGCTGCTCACACCACTAAAGGTATGTGGTAGCACAAAAACTAGAGATGTCCCGATCCGATCACGTGATCGGGGATCGGAGCCGATCACGTGATTTTCAAAAGATCGGAATCGGGAGAAAAAAATCGGGGATCGGGATTTTTTTTTTTTTTTTTTATAATTTTTTTTTTTAATTGAATGTTACAAAACAAAAATGACCATGTTCACGTCTTAAAGTCATCCTGAGGCCTTAGTTTTGGTTTAAAATTACACAACATCATATATGTGTTGCTTCTTTTGGGCTTGTTTTCATAGACCTGGTTGCTTATTTCTCTCAAATCTGGCAACAGAGTGGGCAGGGCGCAGTGTCTAATAGTAGCAGTAAGCTAACAAGAGGCTACGTTCAGCTGGTGACTCAGGAGTCGGGACAGAGAAAATGTCAGGAGTTTGGAAGTATTATAAAATTGAAAGCGAAGGCAGTGTAACAGCCAGATTCAATGTTTGCAAGGCGGAGGTTCTGCGTGGTGGAAAGAACAGAGCTACGTTCAACACGACCAATCTAATACAAACACCAACAACAACACGACGAGTACACAGCGGGCCACTCAGGTAACGGCACTGAAACAACCGACACTTTCAGAGACTTTTAAAAGGAAAGAGAAACTGTCCCAGAACAGTGAAAAGGCCAACAAAATAACAGCCAAGATAGCTGAATTCATCGCGTTGGATGACCAGCCGTTATGTTACCTTTTTTTTCTCTTAATGCATTGCATAAAGATCGGATCGGGAAAAATCGGTATCGGCAGATTGTCAAAATCAAATGATCGGAATCGGATCGGGAGCAAAAAAAGGTGATCGGGACATCCCTAACAAAAACCCTTACTTACTCAGCATAGTTTCAATTCCAGAACAACAAAGTGCAAACATATTTAACATCAAATGTAAGCACTGCATCAGGAAAAAGTCAATGTACCCTGTCTCTATCTCTTACTTAGAAGATTAGAGCCTCCTGCCTGGTTTACATCATTGCATTTTAAAACAAGCGCACTAAACCACTGAGCCACAGCCACTGTGAACATGAACAGTACAGGAAGTTGAATTGGATTGGATCTTTTGGCTGTCAATGTGTAAGATCAGTGGAGATCCCGTTATATTAGTACAAGTGTATCATATTAAGCAACAGCACCATGGAGATAAAGAGAACAAGTATGTATGTGAGTAGAAAACATTAATGGGATCAATCATATATATATAGCTGCTTTCTCCAGAGCACAAGAGTGAGTCTTTGGAGACAAAATGAGTGATGAGATGAAGCTGGAAACAGTACAACCCGTCGGCATATCCCTATTTGGTAGATGATACATGTAATAATACACCCTTTGTCTATGACCTGAACTGATTCAAATAAGACAACATGAAAAATAATCCAAACATAATTCAATAGCTATGGCTTGATGTCAAACCTCAAAACGTGTTGTTGTATCTTATGTATTTGTACTTAACAAAGAGCATAGAAACTCAGATGAATCAGATATATTGTCAGATTCATAATCTTTTTTTATTATTTGATCACATAGTAAAATAATAATAATAATAATACATTTTATTTAAGGCGCCTTTCATGACACCCAAGGACACCATACAATTTGTTAAATATTCTAAGAGGTACAAGCAACAGAACATGATAAAAACACAAACAAACCATCATGGAGAAGACAATGAAAGTGGACACACATGATTGGGAAAAGGTATTCAGGGGAAACGATGACAGGGAGCACTACAGTGAGTAGGCTGATCTGAACAGGTGGGTTTTTAGCATGCTTTTGAGGAGGGACTTGAATGTGGCGATTGTGTCAGACTGTCTGATGAGTGGGGGGAGAGAATTCCATAGTTTGGGAGCAGTGCAGCTAAAAGCCTGAGCCCCCATCGTGACTAGGCGTGGGGTGGGGACGGTTAGCAGGCCAGCAGAGGAGGAGCGGAGGGAGCGAGAGGGGGTGTAGGAGGTCAGCCAGATAGGTGGGGGCCAGGTTGTGGAGGGCTTTGAATGTGAGCAGGAGGGTTTTGAAGTCTATCCGGTATTTTACAGGTAGCCAATGCAGATGGATGAGGATGGGGGTGATGTGGTCAGAGGGTCGGGGTGATGTGGTCAGAGGATGGGGGTGATGTGGTCAGAGGATGGGGGTGATGTGGTCAGAGGGTGGGGGTGATGTGGTCAGAGGGTGGGGGTGATGTGGTCAGAGGATGGGGGTGATGTGGTCAGAGGATTTGGTGCGGGTGATGATCCGGGCAGCAGAGTTCTGAATGATTTTAAGTTTATTGAGGAGTTTGATGGGAAGACCTGAGAGCATGGTATTACAATAGTCAATACGGGATGTGACGAATGCGTGAACCAGGACTTCAGTGCTGGGTTGAGACAGGGATGGGCGGAGTCTGGAGATGTTTCGGATATGAAAGAATGCAGTCCGGGTGATGTTTTTTATGTGGGGTGCAAATGAGAGGGAGCTGTCCAGAATGACACCAAGGCTCTTGACCTGTGTAGAATATTGAACAGGGAAACCATCTATGATTAGGTCTGGGGCAGAGGGGGGTGGAGCTTTGGAGAGGGTGGATTTGGAGCCAACGAGCAGGGCCTCCGTTTTGCTCCCGTTGAGCTTGAGGAAGTTATGGCTCATCCAGCTCCTGATGTCCTGGAGGCAGGTGCTGAGAGAGGTGGGGGGAGGGCAGTGTTGGGTTTGGTGGATATGTAGACCTGTGTGTCATCAGCATAACAGTTAAATTGGACATCATGGTGACGGAGGATGGTGCCAAGGGGGAGGAGGTAAATGATGAAGAGGAGTGGACCCAAAACTGACCCCTGGGGGACACCATGTGAAACAGTGGAGCAGCAGGACTTGTGGTTATTGAGTTGTATACTGTTTTCTGTCTGTAAGGTAGGATGTAAACCAGGAGAGTGCAGTACCAGTGATCCCAATGTCTGCCAGACGTTTGATGAGCAGTGGGTGGGAGATGGTGTCAAAGGCAGATGTGAGGTCGAGGAGGATGAGGATGGTGAGCAGTCCAGAGTCAGCCGCACGGAGGAGATCGTTTGTGATTTTGACGAGGGCTGTTTCAGTACTGTGTTTTGGGCGGAAACTGGATTGGAATGGTTCATGGAGGTTGTTTGTGTCGCGGTGGGACTGAAGTTGACTGGAGACCACTCTTTCAAGAGTTTTGGAGATGAAGGATAGGTTGGAGATGGGCCTGTAATTGTTCAGATCAGCTCCATCAGCACCGTTTTTTTTTTTAGAGTGGGTGTGATTGCAGCCATTTTGAAGTAGGATGGTACAGTTCCGGTGGTGAGGGAGGAATGAATGATTCTTGCGATCATGGGGGTGACGGAGGGAAGACAGGCTTTGACCAAGACAGTGGGGAGGGGATCCAACTGACAGGTAGTGGGTTTGGCTTTGATGATGAGATCAGAGATGGTAGAGACAGTTGCTGGTGTGAAGCTGGAGAGGGTGCTGATGGGTAATTGCCTGGTGGGAATCATCCAATAGTTCCCAATTTAAATCATCATTTTGCCTTTTTTCGGTGACTGTTGTTTTTGTATGGCTGTTTGTGTTTAGACAACATTAGACATTTCAGAACTTTTGCTGCTTGGAGCCGCCTTGCCATGAGCGGTATGCCAGTGTGTTTCTATGGAGAGAGATTATGATGCGCAACCAGTCAGATAACCAGTCAGATCATAATAATAATAATAATACATTTGATTTATATAGCACACTTTAAAGACAACGTCATCTCAAGGTGCTTCACAAAGCTATAAGATAACACTTATATGAAGCAGTGCAAGCTAGCAAAGAAGGTAACCATAGAAACAAAACACAACAAGGCTCTGTCTCACCTCGTTGAGCTAAGAGCAAATCGTCCCATTCTCATGAACAGGATATCTTAGCAACACCTTAAGGGGGTGGTCCACTTATACTTTAGCATGAAGTGATTGGATTTTGAGGATGAAATATCACGGTGAGCTAATGTCTGCCCATTCATGTGATATCTCCATAACGCCTTGATGGAATTTCTTTAAATGTAGCATAAGGGTTCACTTTGACGCAAGGATGAACTCAATAGATGAGGTCAAAGATCAAGTTCACTGTGACCTTACACAACTCATATACATATGCAATATGTTCATCTTCAATTTCACAGAAATGTTTAATAGGATAGTATCACCCCACTGTTCTGTATGTATTGGAGCTTCTGAAGGCTCCCGCTAGGAGTCCCGATGAGGAGAGCGTTGCAGTAGTTGAGCCTTGAGGAGACGAAGGCATGGACCAGTTGTTCTGCATCTAAAAGGGAGAGTGTAGGACGGAGTTTTGCAATGTTCCTGAGGTGGTAGAAGGAGGTTCTGCACAGGTGTTTGATGTGGGTGTCAAAGGTCAGATGTCTGTCAAATCTTACACCCAGGTTGGTAACTGCTGTGGAGAGGGGTATGTTTTGGCCAGAAAAGGTAATGTGGGTTATGGGGGATGACTAGACCTGGTTTGGTGTGCCAACTAAAATAGCTTCTGTTTTGGAGCTATTAAGCTGCAAGAAGTTTTGTTGCATCCAAGCCTTTATCTCCTCAAGGCAGGTTTTAAAGGATGTTGATGGGAACAGTGATGATGATGGTGACAGTGAGGATGCATCACACTGTGAGACTTTATTTGATCATTTCAGTAAAAAGGTAACGTTCATATTTCTCCTTTTGATTATTATAGTGATCAATGTTCAAAACAAAGCACTTTAGCAAGTGTCCACATAAGTTGTAAAATGCTGAATAAGCACCTTAACTTTCATGATACGCATTTCTCGGTCACGATCAGTTGTTTCCGTGAATGACTGAATGTTGTGTCATCGTAAATGTTGCAGCAAGGCATTGTGGGACAGCATTTTCGACGCCGATGAAAGTAAAATCCAAAGGATGAGCTAAAAGAGAATAAGAGAGCTGAGAGGCGCTGTGGTTCATCAGGGCAACTGTGGTTCATCAGGGCAACTGTGGTTCATCAGGGCAACTGTGGTTCATCAGGGCAACTGTGGTTCATCAGGGCAACAGACATCAGACACATGACTATGATCCATTGTTGGTAATACAAATGTTAAAAGGCAGTATTTTATTTTGGAACACCGCTAGGGACAGCTTCATTCACTAGCACTAGAACAGAAAGGCTGCCAGACCCCTGACCACACTGTACAGGGGACTGTAAACGTGCACAGTAAACGTGCACAGCCATGCTCTTTGTTCCTACTCTGCCACCCCTCTCTAGCTGTTCGTCCTTCATTGTATTCTTTTCACTCCTCTCGAAGGGTCAGGTTTGAAATGTTTTCTAAATCACAGATAAGGAACTAGGATATTCACAAAGTGTTCATACCCCTTCACTTTGTGTCATGTGTTATATGTTGCAGCCATATGCTCAAATCCAAACCATTATGACAGAATAACTTCTATCATTTTATTTATTTATTGATCCTCAAAAAGATGCTTTACACCTTGATTTGATTGATTTGACATCATTTGGGAAGACACACACCTGTAGGTCTCCCAGCTACCCATACATATTAAAGCAAAACTCAAGGCAGGATGTCAAAGGAAGTGCCTGGCTGCCTGCAGAGCTGAAAGATGAAGCACATAGACCAAGTGTTCCCTGGGTAACCATGGGTAACAAGGAAGCTGTTTCTGGAAAGAGATGTTGCTCTTCAATCTGTTGTTTGAAGGTGGAGGCAGAAATCTAAGAGACAATCTGGTTCCTCCTCTCCCTCTCCCCCCTGTAGCTGGGCCCATGCTTTTCCTTCATGATTCTGAGCTGCTTCCACCCACACAGTAGAACACAGAGCCCTCCACGTGCACACATAACATACAAACACAGAACACAACACATCTATTTACCCACTCACACCAAATGGAACTATAATAAAAAAATGCATTGATGGAAAGGATTTGACACATTTTGCCCATCATCCAGCCCTCTACTCACAACAAACCCTTCAGCCTCCAGCCCCTCACACACTTCCCCCAGCTTCACCTGCAGACCATGCTGTACTATATCCTTGCTCTATTCTTCCAGGACACACATATGGCAAACTAAGCCTTTGTGCCTATGGGTCTTCTTCCCAAACATAAGTGTTATGATACAGATGATAATCTGAAACAGGAAATAGAGGGGACATAAACACTGATCCACTCATTCAAAAACAGTCACGTCACGTTAGCAGTTGCTTCTAATGCCACACAAGGGCGATGTCATCTTTCCTTTTTAAGCCATGACTTGACCTTCAGCAGTGTTCTGAAGGATTAGGACAGGTGAATGTAAGGGCTTCAGTTTATCTGTGTGACTCAGAGGATGTTCATTAGCAACAAACAGCATGTGTATTGCCAATTTGACATTTTAACCATATAAAACTCCAGTGATCAGAGTGTGTACTCCAGGTCCAGTGTGTTGGATTGAGAGGCCTCTAGCAGTAAGGATGCAGATAGCAACAAACTGAACTACGACTTGACTTTAGAATGATGGCTTTATTTAGGACATATTCCTTTTATCTTATAATGTTATAACTTTATTATTATTATTATTATTATCTTTCCAATCCGGCACATAGGCCACGTGCATGCCCCTAAAAGTGACTGGTGCCAAGGTGTGCTCTGATTTAATAGACCAATAAAAGTAGACAGATTCAGGCAGGCCTTGCATAGCCGCACACCATTTATTTTGAGATACTCTTTGACAGTTTTGACAGTAAAGTGTTGAATTGATGTGCTATATTAATTGTCTGCGTTCACAGACATGTAAACCTGTGTCTTGACTTGCAGGATGCTTATGAAGAGAGCAAAAACAATAGTTACCACTGGTCCTCGATGATGTTATACAGTCTCAGTCCGGCTGGTCAAGGTGGTTAAAAAGCTATTCACATGCATGGGAATCTGTTCGATCAGCTGTGCTTCTTGATGAGCTCATGATGTTTTCAGAAAGAAGAAGCTGTTGCTCTGAGGTTAAATCATTTGACATGTGATGTTCAGTTTAATCGTCACTGGGTTCACAAACAACCTACATACTAAATATTAGTCTGTATATTTTTATCAAAACAAAAAAAGAGAGGTAGGAGAAGACAGCCTGTGTAAACCAGTTTTCTACTGTCCTCTAATCAAAACATATTTAGAGATGAAAGATTGTATTTATTTTCATTGCATTTGATATCAAGGTTATTCAAAAGTAACGTAAAGTAATCAGGTTACATTGCTTTAATATTGTGATACTCAGATTTGGTTACCTTTTCGAAGAATCCCTCCCAACCCTGCCTGGTACTTCACTTGGACCCAGCCTGGTCTAGGTTTAAAGGGGGTTCTATCTGCAGTAGAAAACCTAAAGTGTGTTGTCTATGTCTACAATATGCTCTCATCCTTCTCATTTGAGATTCACATTGTAGGTTAAATGCATGGAAGGACAGCCTGCAGACTGAAGTCTCAGATGAAGATTGGAAAAATGCTTGCATTGCTGCTCATACTAATATTAATACACGACTGAAACCAATACAGTATAAATGGTTGATGCGAACATATGTGACCCTGGTTGATTTAAACCGATTCAACAAAAATATACCAGATGTATGCACAAAATGCACATAATCACGGGGAACATGGTTTCACTGTATTTTGCAGTGCAGAAGTGTTCTGGGAAGAGGTACGAGAGATTTGACTGGACCCAGTATTTTCTGATTGGTCCAGTAATGAACATGAGCTAACATTTGTAGACCTCAGCCTGCTCTAAGCCAAAACCTGAATAGCATTGTTTTGGAACAAGGCTCACAGCTCAAGCATCACTCATTGGTTGCGACCGATGCTGTTAGGCCTCCCATTGGAGGAGATATCCTACTGTATATATTAAGAGCCATAAAGACAGCGTTCGAGAACGTATGGAGGCCGTTCATTGATTATGTCAAGGATCTGAATGTATCTAATGGTCAAGAGAATGAGTAGATGCAGTGCCGGTTTCATTGTGTCTTCTCTTTTCTGCATAATGTTTGCAAATGATTACCTTGTATTATACAGATGAAGCATGTTTGTTATTTCTCTTATTTTTGTATTGTTGTATTGAAAATCCAAATATATAATTGTTCATGGCGTCTAATTGTAGTTTTCTGTTCCTCCAGGTAAAGTGAGCACCTATCCTGAGCTGGATGAGGAGATCAACTTCCTGTCTGCGATCATCAGTGAACAGAGAACTCTGTCCAGGCTGCCAGGTACTGAAGCCCCCTGTTCATATTCAGCTCTACAGTACATCCATGCTGACATAATGACTCCAAACCCTTCATTCCTTATCTAAACCCTTCATTCCTTATCTCAGCTCCAACCTCCCAAATTGCCTCTGAACCGTCACCCGGCGCCCCCCCCCCTCACAGCATCCACCACAGAGCAGCCCAGGAGCCAGAGTGTCCTGCCCACCAGTGAGGCTCCAACCTCCTCTACCTCCAAAACCACCTCCAGCACAAACCACACCACTGCTCTGCTCAGCGATCCCATCATCCTCCCGTACCCCCCCCATGACCAGGTCTTCATCAGTAAGTATTTTCTGTACTTTAGCCATGACAACGTTTTATTTTGGAGTTCTACCTCTTGAGCTTGAGGTAGAAACTGTAATTGTGACCTGAGTGCTGTGAGATTTGGTTTAATGACTATATATTCTCAGGTTAAAACGGGGGGTTACGTATTGTAACCCTTGTTATATAAGCACAGGCGGAGCCCTCTACTGGACTCTATGGGTACTACCTCTCCACCATACTATTCGAGCATTCATCAACTGAGATATCTATAACCGTAGCCGGCCCCCGGGGCGGGCCTACCTGAATGCGTGCACAAGCCCACCGTATGTAAGGCGGCCACGCCTCCCGTTTACGTCATCCTACACTTCTCTTCAGCGAGCGGCATAGGACAGACAGGGCCCCGAGTAGAGGGCTCCGCCTGTGCTTATATAACAAGGGTTACAATACGTAACCCACCGTTATATCTCACACAGGCTCCGCCCTCTACTGGACTCTATGGGTACAGTGGGTGGAGCCCTGATGCCTAAACGCCCTGTCGTCCAACAACATCGAGTCACCACACTGCCCCTGACCGGCTTTTGGTTAACAGCCACTGCACCGCAACCTCCTCTCCTCCGTTTGTGACCGGGGAGAAGTGGGGGCTGCAGTTTACCTGGCTGGTAGGGCACACTCAGACACGCTTACCTCGTGAATAGTGTGCCTGGAAAACAGTGAGGAGGGCTCTCCCTGCCTGCCCATTGCCCCCCAGCCCTGTATGGGGCTTACCGCGCACCATGTCTCCCGGGTCCCCAAGGAGCATGGGAAAACATAAGTGCATTATGTCCAGGGGGGGGGTCAGATACCTGCTGACCCACAGCCCCGCCCCTCACCAGTCCTGTGCTGCCTCAGCAAGCACAGATGATGAGAAGGAGCCAGACATGTCCAAGAGATAAAACCTTATGAAGGGGCCTGGCGTGGACCAAGATGCCGCCGTACATATGTCCTCCACACTCACTCCGTTGAATAAGGCTGTTGACACAGCCATGGCTCGTGTAGAGTGTGCACAGACCCCCGTGGGGAAGGCTCTCCCCGCCTGTCCATAGGCATGTGAGATGCACTCGCAGAGCCATCCTGCCAGGCTTTTCTTGGACAGAGCTTTACCGGCTACGCCGCCCCCAAAGCACACAAACAGCTGTTCAGTGCGTCTATAGGCAGCCGTGCGCTCCACAAAACATGCTAGCGCACGCACCGGGCAGAGGAGGTGCAATTTAGCCTCCCTGGCCCCACTATGGGGTGGAAGATTAAAGCCCCCTAACTGAATAGCCCTTGACCTGAACGAGCTCCCTAGACTCTTGGGAACAAAGGAGGGGTTCGGTCTGAGTGTCGACCCGCTCCGGTCACCTCGGATCAATAAGCAACTTGGGTGCACCGACAGAGCAGTCAGCTCGGACACTCTCTTGGCTGAAGTTAAGGCAAGTAACAACGCTGTCTTCCATGACAGTGCTTTCAGGGAGGAGAGCTCCAGAGGCTGAAATGGTTCTGTGACCAGAGCCTCGAGCACCAACGGCAGGTCCCACTGTGGGGCGGGGGCGTGCACTACTGGGCGCTGCCTCCTGACCCCCTGTAAAAACCGCGACATTAGCGGCTGACTGAAGGCTGACCTGCCTCCAAATCCCTCATGGCAGGACGAGATGGCTGCTGGATACACTTTAATTGTGGAATGAGCCAGCCCCCTGTCCACCAGTAACTGTAAGTAGGACAGAATAGTGCCCATCATACAAGATAGGGGCTCTAGACTCCCCTCTTCACACCATCGCTGGAATCCCAACCACTTTGGCCTGTAACAGGCTGTGGTGGATCCCGCTCTCGCTGCCTGGATAGACTGAATAACTCTGTCACACAATCCACCCTGTCTCAGCCTGTCCCTCTCAGGAGCCAAGCCTGGAGAGGTTGGCCCAGAGCCCCGATTGCACCTGCCTCTTGAGACATCGCCCCCCAGAACTGGGGAATCGCCCAGCGTGGCCCACCTTCATCTGTGTCATCTCTGAGTACCACGGAGCCCCGACGTGATCCGGAGCCACTAGGATGACTGACAGACGTTCTCGCCTCACTCTCCCCAGGAGAGGGAGAATGAGATGCAGTGGTGGAAAGGCGTAGAGCAGCTTTCTTGGCCATGGCTCGTGTGCAAACGTCGCAGTCTGCAAACTGCCCAAAGCAAGGATGCCTGTCTGCTCTCTGACAGGGTGGCGCGTAGCCTGCCTGCATCGAGCAACATCCCCAGATACTGCACCTGCTGGTGAGGTATGGGGGAGCTCTTCTTCCAATTGACCGCAAAACCCAACTTGGTTAGGTGTGAAACATTGCCCATTCCCTGGACCTGGCCATGACTATGAGGTCGTCTAGAGTAGTGTTGTCACGATACCAACATTTTGGTTTCGATACCGATACCAAGTCAAGAATTGCGATTCCGATAATTTTTCGATACTTTTCTTAAAAAAAGGGAAACAGTCTTAAATGTAATTATTGTGCTTTATTTCAGCAGACTTCTGTAGTTGAAATAAATGGGTTAGAAAAATGATGGTTAATTAGTTTGTGAGATACCATCATCAGTAGTGTTCAGGGCAGGCTAATCCTGGGTTTGAGCTGTACCAGACTCACAGTTAATGTCATTTATGTTTATTATTTTCATGATCTCTTACAACATGGTCTCTTCTTTATACTTGAGTTTATGTGATTTCTTTGATAGTTAACTTTATATTTTATTAACATGTAATAGTACAGTAATATAAATACTTATTGACAAAATGTACATTGCAGATGTTAGCCACATTGGTAAGTTAGCTAAAAAGATAGCCATATTAGACAGTTATCATTGCCATTGCCTCGTCAAACTACGAAAACGTTCGTTTGTCACAAAATAAATGACACTTGTTTGACTTAGATTTGAGGGCATGGGCTTGAGCATGATGTAATTATGTTATCTATCACATTCGCTAACCTGTCTGTCTTTAAATTCTTTAAACAGCTCTGGATGCAGGTCGGCGAGGTGCTTAGCCAAGTTTGATGTGTTGGCTCCCTTGGTTTGCAGGGATCTAAAACATGTCTTACAGACAGGCCTCATGGTGTCCGTAGGCTTGCCCTCACTGTCAGAGATATAGCTCAAATACTTCCAAATTTCGCTTCTGCCGTCTTTTTTGTCAACAAGCCGAGGCGCAGCGGCAGTTGCACTCCCACTTGCAGCTTCTCATTTTCTCACATGCTCTGGCAGCTAGCGCGTGCACGAGAGAGGGGAGGCACTTAGAGCGTGCTTGAGAGGGGAGGGACGGCAGGCACGGCTGCAGTGCAGGGAGTGGAAGCAGAGCGCTGAACACACACGGCTCTTATTAAAACAGCGCTTTCTCCCCGGAGTACTTTTCCCCGTCATTCTTAAAGTACCCATACTAATGAAACGGAGGAATCGTAACGTTTTTAACGGCAGGGTATCGCGGTACCTTTCAAGTATCGGTACACCGTGCAACACTAGATAAAAGAACACCCTCATGCCACGGTCGCGCAGCGGCTGAAACGCTGTGGCCACACATTTGCTGAACGTGCGTGGGGATAGGGAGTAGCCGAACGGCAGTCTGTTGTACTCGTAGGCTACACCCTGGAAGGCAAAACGCAAATACTTTCTATGCTTTGGAGCAATTTTGACATGAAAGTAAGCGTCTTTCAGGTCGATGGTTGTGAACCAATCGCCTGGCATACAGACAACTCCTGTTTTTGCAACAGGGCCTGAATCTCTGCGGAGAGGAAACCTATCTCCTCCCAGGATGATAGATTTGCCTCTCTATTGCCCCTGAATGGAGGAGGGACGCTGCAAAGCTGGAGTGAGTAACCCAGTCTCAGTGTCCTGCCCCTCTACTCTGTCAGTACACAGCTGGGCTTCCATTCCCCACAAAACTGTGTTCAGGGGGCATGCCAGCAGCTGTGGAGCCACAGCTAAGAAGCTGTCGTATTCTCTACAGTACCTGTGGCCTACTCCGCTGCCAAACCCTCCATAAAAGGAAGTTTGGCATGGGGGCTGACACAGAAAAGGGCCGATTTTCTACTGAGGTCCTTGAATGCACCGCGGCACGCTCCCGTGGGGCCGCGGCTCTGTCCTAATGCCGTCTCTTTGAAATGGACATTATGGTGAAAAGTGGAATTGTGGAGAGAGATGACTCTTACTCTGGGATAGGGATGCATATCGTTGACTTTTTGACGATACCGATACCACTGAACGATACCGATACTCGACCGATACATATTGTGATACTTTCATGTTGCATAAGGGAAAACATGAAGCGCTTTATGATATAGTTAACATATCAAATGAATATTACAATTAATTGTGGGACTTCAACCTTTTAGTACTGAACAAACAATGAAAAACACGTTTGACAACACGGGCTTGAAGACTGTACATTCCTGTACTCTGATTTGTGACAGTAGCAAATGTTTTGAGAGGTTGGATGTGTTGCCGCCTTTCCCAGAAATAAACTTATTGCAGTGGTTACAGACCCCACCATTCAGACTGGCAGTCATATGCAGCCACACTTTAGATTTTTGTGCCGACATCGAGCTAATGAAAAAACGAAATCTAACCGAAAGGCTCAGACGTTCGGGAGGAAGGTGAAGGGCGTTGCTTGGCAATCAAGCCAATCACCGAAGCCGTTGCAAAACGCGCAATCTGATTGGCTGGCGGTTTGGGCGTGAGTTTATGGATATTACGCCTAACTTTATATAAAAGAAAATACAAAAATACAAAAAAATACAAAAATATCGAAAACCGGATCTGATTTCGGTACGGTATACCGTAGCCGCCAGTAACCGGTATTTCGGTAATACCGGGAACCGGTATGCACCCCTACTCTGGGATAAATGCAATCGTTTTCACTGAATGCATTTCTCACACACATCACTCTTTCTTGACAGCACTTCAGTTTATTCCACTCACGTGCGTGCGCCCACCTGCTGGCTCCTATACTGGAGTTTACAGCGGGGCGGGGAGTGTGGGACAGTGTTCTTTCCTCTGGGGATGAGCAAGAAGCAGCCATGCTGCGACTACTCCTCACCCATGTGACCAAGGAGATCGATCCAAAGAGCCCTTCCGTAAACGCGGGGGCTCCCCGGAGATCAACACGATCCTTTTTGAAAAGTGCCATGCGGCGTGATCCCCCAGGGACATCACACGGCAGGCAGCGGCGGCGGCCACACAGTAGACCAAGCTACTAATTCGGCCTTGCGGCCAAATAATCGCTCTGATCTGGTGAGGTGGGGGCATCTCTAGCAATGAGCGAGATGCCCAACACACCTGTGTTTATTTGCAGCCGCCCTGTCACGCGGCAGGTTGGGCAGAGCTCATTTCAGCTCTCTGCCCAACCTGCTGCTTGCTGGGAGCAGCTGCGCTCTGCCACCATGGTCATCACCTAGGGGGAAGTATAGCCCTGGGCGGTGGACTTCCATGGACGCCGGACCCGGAAGTGCCCGACATCGGCAAATGGAGCCATCTGCCCCGCTGGAATGGCGAACGTGAATGGCACCGCCTCGGCCATATCCTGGTCCCCCAAACACTCGAAGCAGAGGTGGTGGGGATCGGCGCCCGCTATTTAAGCCACGGCACGAAGGACAGGCCCGGGTCTCTAGCTGTGGCGACTCCATGGAGGTATGATAACTCTTTCTTCTTCTTTCAAACGTTTTACTTTCTCTGCTTCAGTTGTTGCTCGCTCGCTGAAGAGAAAAGGATGACGGGAACGGGAGGCGTGGCCGCCTTATATACGGTGGGCTTGTGCACGCATTCAGGTAGGCCCGCCCCGGGGGCCGGCTACGGTTATAGATATCTCAGTTGATGAATGCTCGCACAGTATGGTTAAGAGGTAGTACCCATAGAGTCCAGTAGAGGGCGGAGCCTGTGTGAGATATAACAAGTATATCCCCGTTTCTCAGAGTCCAATGAAATAGATTTCTTCTTCCAAAATCTAAAGATTTACTTTAATATAATAATAATAATAATAATAATAATAATAATAATAATAATAATAATACATGTTATTTTTTATAGCGCTTTTCCTGGTGCTCAAGCGATTATGATACCAAAGATAGAAAAGCAGGAAAATCTCCAGTTTTCCAAGGCTGGAAACTTAAATGTACTTTAACTAACTTTAAATAAACAGTAAATGGCCCATACATTTTGTTGCCGTTTTATTTTTCTGTTGATCTTCTAATTGATTAGTCAATGGTTGCTGCCTTATCGCAAAGATGTTTAGGAAGTTCCCGTTATGGATAAGTGCTGCAGCCCTGGAGGCCGCTTCATTTAAGTTTGAAATTATTTTTGCAGCAAGGCAGCATTGAATCTAAACACACTCTGATGATAAGACATTGTAAGACAGTAAAAATAACAGCAGCTGAGGTCGTAAAGAGCAAAAATATAATAATTGATATGACCAACTATTGGAAGGGGACAGGAATACGAGTACTGAAGCAAGCAATGTACTGCTGTTGAAGGGGGGCAAGTGCAACACACATTGTAGTCCCTTAAAAAAAAGAAAAAGGCCTAAACGCAAAAACATTATGAGCTGAATATGCCATATTTAAAATATTTTCACTGCTTTACCTTGCTGCATCGACTGTAGGTGGCTCACTGACAATTGATAAGGACCTCATTCATCCAGGTGTCAAAACATCTGAAATGTTATTTCAAATGCTTTAAAGAATGATTCATACTAATAATTCTAATTATAGTGTTTCTCCCCCTGCACCGACATTTTGCAGCCAGCTATTTATAGTCAGACGTCATTTTCAATCAAATTTCATAAACTTTCAGAATCCTCTCTGGTGTTAGGCATACAGACACGTCGCTCCTCAGAACTAAACGCAGTGCTAAACTGTGCAGGAACCAAGAGGCCGTTCTGCTCCATTAGACACAGAGCTCTTATTCCTTGTAGGATGAAGAAAAACATGAGCCTTCAGAAATCTTTATTTCTGATCAGAGCGGAGGAGGATTCTTAAAGACAGGCTGCTCTATATTTTTCTATTATGCCAGCGTAACATTTAAAATATGGCTGCCGCTAAACAGTGATGTTACTTCATCACAATGGTGTCTAGTTAATTTCTGTTTCTCACATCTAAATTCCTTTATCAATTAATTATTGAGAAAATAAAGACATATTAGATTATAAAATGAGCAATATTCAGGTCTTGATTGTCTGCAGGTGGCTTCAGCTTTAATCTTGGTGTCCTTTCACACTGACTCAGTGTCTGCACACTGAGACAACAACACATGGACTACTAATAGCCACAAGATGTAACAAAGAAAACAAAAAGGCATCTGTTGTTGTTACAAGGTAGAGTAAAACACACATAACCCAGTAGTGTACATCCATCTTAACTGTGACTACAAGTTGCCTTCACTGCACTGTATCTTTGAGGTTGTAAAAACACTTTTTTTTCATTCAGGTACACCACCCTCTACTATGAATTTGCATTGAGTCGATGCAATCTCAATGCAAATGCATAGGAACAAAGCCCAGGGCCTGTATTCACAGATACTGTGGGAATACTCTCAGAGAGCTCCTAACTAACTCAGCCCAAACATCAGTGAGCGCAGAAGGGAATGCACTTTACCCGGTATATTAAGTTGGTTGATTAAGAAAAGAAAACGACAGGCCATATCACAGATGTTATTCTCTATTAAGACATGGTGTGATTAAAGGTATATATTTATGTAATGAACATCTGTGTTGGATAAATTGTAAGCCACATAATGCCTAAAACACAGGAGCCTCTTCACATGCTGATAGTTGGTATATTTGTTTGCTCACGTTTATTTACCATACATGTACTTTTAGTTCTTACTCTAATAATAATTATAATAATCACTCTTTCATACATTTCTGTGATGGCCAGTCAGCAGCAGCGTAGGTTGGCATTTTAATCTCAAAACCAGCAAATCAGCAAACAGCAATAGAAGCAAGTCAAATAGCAGAAAAGCCACCTGCACCGAGGAACATGAAGCTTAGGTCGTTGACCAATCTGAAGTCAGTTTAAATGGAAAGAATACGTCATCTATCTTCATGGGAACAGGCGCCTTAAAGTCCTCAGACTTAGTAAAATACCTCCTTTGTCTGGCAAAATGTTAGCACTCCATGCTGTGATATCTCGGGACTGACCTCAAATTCACTATGGAGCTACAGAACAGAAGAGGTGTGTTTCTGTCCTTTAGTTGTGCCTCGCTCCATATCTCCTCTCAATGCTGTTTCTCTGTCCCTGCGGGGCCATATCAGACACAATGACTCCGTCTTTTTCAGAAGCTCTCCCATGCTCTATAGTCTGCTTCTAACACAGTTCCAGGGCTTTGGGTCAGAATCATGTCTCCTTCCGACGCCTACAGATTTCTCCTCACACTGTGTCTGTATGTCCTCTCAGTCCTCTGCAGTGTCTTCATGGTGGTGGCTTCGATGGCTCTCATCACAGCAGGCGCCTGTTGGCTCAGGTAAGATATATATATATATATATATATATATTCCTGCCTTTCAAATCTACGGCTTCAGACTCTTCAAATATCATGTCACTCACTTTTAGGATTAGATTTTGTACATCTAATTTGATTATATTCAAATATAGTCATATTATGATTGAGGCATCCAGGTGGTTATACAATACATTGCAGCTAACAATATTTTCTATTCTGATTATTATTTATTTATTTATCGTTTATTTCTCAATATTTATTACTCAATCTTTTCTCAGCTGCAGCTCCGCCAATTTCTCCTCCCTGAGACGGCGGGACGCAAACTCCCGGTGTGTGTGTGTGTTCGGGCTGGGTTTCGCTGTGTCTCGCTGTCTCGCAGACGGCCACTGGGCTCATAGGGAGGGGGGGGCAGGAGCTCCAACAAGCCGTTTAGGACAGAGAGTGAATACACATACTATACAGAGATGCTGTATGAGAAACCAATGTGATTTTGGAAAATTGCACAGTATAAATCTATTTTAGTATACCTCAGCTAGCTGGTGGTGTGTGGATCTCTGCTGCTCGGCTGCCAGCCTTTGGCGCGGACGCGCAGTCCTCCGATGGTGTGGATAGAGGTCCTGCTGCTAGGTCGGCAGCCGTCAGCGCGAGACCGCAGAGACCCGCTGGTGGTGCTAGCTGTTCAGCTTGCCAGCCTCTTCGGAAGCTGGCTGGTGGCGTGTGGAGCTCAGCGGCTGGGCTGTTAGCCGTCAGGCTGATGGAAATGACGCCGGGACCCGGACACGGGTGGATATCTCCCGAGAGTAATGGTGCGTTCACACCGGACGCGATGCGATGTTTGGGGGCGGCACGATTACATGTAAAGTCAATGCAGAGACGCGGACAGACGCGGACAGACGCGGACAGACGCAAATTCACTCCGGCGGCGTGCATGAAGCGGTTGATGCGAATGCCGCGGCACGATTGAGGCGATTGAACGGGGCCGCGATAACCGCTCGAGTTCAATTTTTTCAACTCGAGCGTCAAATTCGCCTGACGTGATCTCGCGATAGCCAATCAGCAGTGAGGATCTCAGCCTGCCGTCAGTGACGTTGAACCAGAAAACCAAAACATCAGCCGTTAGCTGTTAGCACTCAGAGCTCACAGCTCCTCATATCTGTTCAGAAACTAGACAAAAGTTAAACAAGTACACACCACAGACTGTCTGTGTCATGGTGAATACAGTCGCTGCTTTATTTATGTCTGTATAGGCCGTTGTTGTGAGTGTGGACGGAGCATATACAACGTAAGCTTAGCCTGATGGATCCGATCTCCATTTAGAAAACACGCATTTTAAAAGGTTTTTCCCCTGCCGTCTGTCTGCAGACTTGTCAAAGCATTAATTCATGGTTTTTACTAACCGTTATCAGTATGTTGTTACTTCAGCATCATTTTGAAACGTGTATTACAATTAAATCACAGTAAAATATGTTCATTTTGTTGTAGCCCCCTGGCCAGCGAGTCTTGTTTGAATGATGCGAGTAAACACAGCTGACAGCCGCGGTGAAACTGGAGCGTTAAGAGCGATTAGAGCGTCCGGTGTGAATGCAGCATTAGAGACATAGCAGAGCTAATAAGACTAAGGCAACATGTCAATACTCACAAACTGGCCCCTGGACAAAGATCATTGCTGGCATTTTTGCTTAAAACAATTTATGAATAAAAAAAATTAATATTGTGTCACTGTCAGTCATCTAATATAATATCATATATAATATGTCCTATGATATCCTGTCAGTCATCTAATATAATATAATATGTAAAATACTGAATACTGTGTTACAGATATCAGCTATAAAAGACTGCTCTTGGTCAGAGTCTACTCCTTTAGCATTAAAGAGTCCTCTCCTGCTGATGTTCAGGTGTATATCAGTATGTAGTGTCTCTACTTTAAAGAGTCCTCTCCTGCTGATGTTCAGGTGTATATCAGTATGTAGTGTCTCTACTTTAAAGAGTCCTCTCCTGCTGATGTTCAGGTGTATATCAGTATGTAGTGTCTCTACTTTAAAGAGTCATCTCCTGCTGATGTTCAGGTGTATATCAGTATGTAGTGTCTCTACTTTAAAGAGTCCTCTCCTGCTGATGTTCAGGTGTATATCAGTATGTAGTGTCTCTACTTTAAAGAGTCCTCTCCTGCTGATGTTCAGGTGTATATCAGTATGTAGTGTCTCTACTTTAAAGAGTCCTCTCCTGCTGATGTTCAGGTGTATATCAGTATGTAGTGTCTCTACTTTAAAGAGTCCTCTCCTGCTGATGTTCAGGTGTATATCAGTATGTAGTGTCTCTACTTTAAAGAGTCATCTCCTGCTGATGTTCAGGTGTATATCAGTATGTAGTGTCTCTACTTTAAAGAGTCATCTCCTGCTGATGTTCAGGTGTATATCAGTATGTAGTGTCTCTACTTTAAAGAGTCCTCTCCTGCTGATGTTCAGGTGTATATCAGTATGTAGTGTCTCTACTTTAAAGAGTCCTCTCCTGCTGATGTTCAGGTGTATATCAGTATGTAGTGTCTCTACTTTAAAGGGTCCTTTCCTGCTGATGTTCAGGTGTATATCAGTATGTAGTGTCTCTACTTTAAAGAGTCCTCTCCTGCTGATGTTCAGGTGTATATCAGTATGTAGTGTCTCTACTTTAAAGAGTCCTCTCCTGCTGATGTTCAGGTGTGTATCAGTATGTAGTGTCTCTACTTTAAAGGTCCCCTATTATACTGTTTTTCTTTAATATATTATAGGTCTCAGATATATACAAAACATGTCTCTGAAGTGTTTGGCTCGAAACACCAAACAGATCATTGCAGCATCCCATAATCCCCTCTGTTTCAGCCCTGTTTCAAAAGTGCTGATTCTCTGTCTGTTACTTTAGATGAACATAAGGAGCCACTCCCCACGCCCCTCTGAGAGATATTTAGTTAAAGTGGCCAAGATCTGATCAGCTGTTTGGTGTTGTTTGGTGGATTGGATGATTGAAGTCTGATGAATCAAGACATATTGGCAACAATTTATTTATTAAGAATGTATTCTTTTAACAAGCAGCCTCAGTAGCGTGTGGAAGAACCAAACACAGCCACAACAGCCTCTCCTCCTCATGCTGTCACCAGCCTGCTCACACTCTGCTGTGGGATGGCATCCCATTCTTCAACCAGCATTTGTCCCAAGTCAGCCAACGTGGTTGTGTTGGTCACTGACAGACTCATCTCTGAACATAATGTTCCTCCACATGTTGAGGTTCCAGTGCTCTGAACATAATGTTGCTCCACATGTTGAGGTTCCAGTGCTGTGAACATAATGTTCCTCCACATGTTGAGGTTCCAGTGCTCTGAACATAATGTTCCTCCACATGTTGAGGTTCCAGTGCTCTGAACATAATGTTCCTCCACATGTTGAGGTTCCAGTGCTCTGAACATAATGTTCCTCCACATGTTGATGTTCCAGTGCTCTGAACATAATGTTCCTCCACATGTTGAGGTTCCAGTGCTCTGAACATAATGTTCCTCCACATGTTGAGGTTCCAGTGCTCTGAACATAATGTTGCTCCACATGTTGAGGTTCCAGTGCTCTGAACATAATGTTCCTCCACATGTTGAGGTTCCAGTGCTCTGAACATAATGTTCCTCCACATGTTGAGGTTCCAGTGCTCTGAACATAATGTTCTTCCCCATGTTGAGGTTCCAGTGCTCTGAACATAATGTTACTCCACATGTTGAGGTTCCAGTGCAAGTGGGCTTGACGGTGAAGGGCAGTCATGGCAGGCTCCTGGCAGCTGCTGTTTGGCATTGGCAGAGGAGATTTGTCACATTTTTCATTGGCGCACCCCACATACTCCGCTCTGCTGCTCATCCCACAAATACTTGTTCCTCACAAATGTGGTACCATTGGAAAGGTAAATAAACAGGCTTTCCAACGGTATAAGATTTATTGCCAAGAAGCATTGTTACAACAAAGAAATAATCTACCAATCACAGATTTCCTTACTTCTTTTTGTTAAGTTTATATTCTAAGTTTCCATGGAATGTAACCAGCTTGTATGGAGGCCCAGTAGAGACCTAGCTGCAAACAATGAGAAGTATATGTTATACATGTATGGGCTTAGATTTGTCTCATAAATATTTGTGTGAACATAAAAATAATTTGTGTGTAAATATGTGATTTGTAAATGTAAAACACCATCCACAAATGCATTTAAAGCTCCCATGTCATGCTTTTCCGGTTATTACCCGTCCCCTTGTGTGTTATGAAGGTTTTTATGCATGTAAACGGTGTGCAGAGTCAAAACCCTCAAAGTACACCCTGTAGCGAGTAAAACTCTAACACAGAAAATACCTCCCCAAAACGCCTCGTTGGAGATACGTCACTGCCCATTTGATTCTTCCGGGTACCGCCTGATGTCATGCGGTACCCGGAACGAAATGGACCAATCCCGAAGAGCTATGGCCACACCAGCAGCGGCGTGTTCCTCCTCCAGAGGTTCGATGAACCGGCATTTCACAGACGAAAGCTTCCAAAAACATTGCCCAGTTTGAGGCCGGATATGCACAGCTTGTTTGGACCGTTTGGAGCAGGGGAAGATCTGGGTATACAACCTGTAAGTTTGCATTGTTATTTGTGTATTTATCAAACAAGACTGTTTAAATGTGTAAACTGTGTTGGACTGCTAAGCCATTGACACAGTGCTAACTGTGCTAACTAAGTTGCTAGAGTTTCCATATATCAACTCTAATATCAGCAGATGGCCTTGCATACATGTATCTCATAGCAGGAGAATGTCTGCATTCACACACAAAATACCTATTGACAGTATACTGCGGGTGATTTGCCGGTCAGTCGCGAAACGTAATTACATTATAGCTGGCGTAGCGATCTAACACACGGAGCTTGAGCTAGTTTTGGTCAGAAAAACATTTTTGTGATGCTACGTTGCTAGCGTTTAAATATATCAACTACAATGTCAGCAGATGGCCTTACATGTTTGTCATGGCAGGAGAATGT